ATTGATGCTTAACATATATATAATAAAATAAAATGTATTTAATATTATAATCACGAGTATGTATATATTTTTATAGAATATTCACACAAAGTTAGAACTGGCTTTAGATGAAGATAGCATCTTTTACAAACTTGGAAGTGCTGGTTTAATTAGTTTCTCTGATTATATATTCTTGCTCACCGTATTATCCAGTAAGTTATCGCTATTAATTTTATATTTTTACTTGAACATCAATTAATCAAATATTTTATATCAAGAAATGTTTCTGTAGCTTCTAGGAGACATTTCGAAATCGCCTTCAGAATGTTTGATTTTAATGGCGATGGTGACGTTGATTCTGAGGAATTTGGAAAAGTCGCTACTTTAATTCGACAACAAACTAGTATCGGAAATCGACATCGCGATCACGTTACCACTGGTAATATGTTTAAGGTACTAGAGTTTATTATTGTTTTGAATATCTGTAATATTAGTGTAAGTTACTGTAATCATTTTCATGTCTTCCCTGAAAATGATTTTAGTAATTATACAAAACGAACAAAGTAATATAAAAATTTACAAGGAAAGTTACAGAATCCGGTAATACAAACTTATTTATATAAGATGTTCCAGTAATCATAGTACAATTGGCAATAGGATGATCCTATGTGAAAAAAGAAATCGGAGACGATAATATTTACTTCAATTATAATTTTCTATCATATAACCAATATATTTACAATTTTCAGGGTGTTAATTCAGCATTAACTACATATTTCTTCGGTCAAAACATGAAAGGGAAGTTGACTATTGAGAAATTTTTAGAGTTTCAACAGCAATTGCAAACAGAAATACTTAGTTTAGAGGTCAGTTTTACAATATTTCATTATACATTATTTTATTTTGATAGTTCGATTGTTTGTTGATAGTTTGATAGTTTGATAGTTCGAAATTGTTATAGTTCGAGCGAAGAAATCCTGATGAAAACGGTCGAATAACTGAAGAAGATTTCACAGAATTATTGCTTGCATATGCTGGATATCCTGCCACAAAAAAAGCGAAGATTAGGAAAACTGTAAAAAAGCGGTATACACACACATATATATATATTTATAATTAATGTAAATATAATTTCTACATAAAAAGTGAAATATTTCAATAATGTATTTTATTTTTTCAGCTTTAAGGATAATCCAAAGGGAATAGACAAAGACGAATATCTGAAGTTTTTTCATTTTTTAAATAATATCAATGATGTGGATACAGCACTGACATTTTATCATATTGCTGGAGCATCAATTGATCCAGGTCTTTCATAATATTAAAAAATAATATTTTTGTCATAAATTAAATTCTATTCGTTCTATTTTTTAAATTAAATCTCTTTAACTTTATAACTTATAACTTTATATCTTTTACAGCTACCCTAAAACATGTAGCAAAAACAGTGGCTCATGTTGATCTGAGTGACCATGTAATACAAGTGGTTTACATTATTTTTGATGAAAACAGTTAGTTGATTATAATATTAAATAATTTAATGTTTGATATTTATTATTTATATGACATACTGTTATTAAAATTTTATGAATCATATAAGTCTTTATATCTTAATATATAACAAATTTAGCTTTATATTGTTAGACATATTATGTAAAAGTTTCTATTTAGTAAGAAGTAATGTATGTTATGATATTTCTACGTAGATACTAACATTCTCCTTAATATAAGGTACAAAACATTTTGTACATTATAAGATTAATTTTGAAGTAATAATATTTTTTGTTTATTTCTAGTGGACGGCCAATTGAGTAACAAAGAATTTGTTGCTGTAATGAAAAATAGGGTTCTAAGAGGATTAGAGAAGTCAAAAGATACTGGTTTTGTCAAGCTAATTGAATCAATGGTAAAATGTTTAAAAATCAGTTATAATATGCATTTTGATAATTAAAGCAAAATTAAGAGGTTTCTGGCTTTTTTATTATATACGTTTAAAATGGAATTAATTATTGATTTATCTCATTCAGAATTTATCATTACTAATCGCTATTTATTCACTAAGAAATAAACATAATGTATGAGAAAAACTGTTACATACATACTTCTTTTAATATCTCCCATAATATCTTTTTTTATATATCTAATATGTCAAACAAATATATTACTTTATGGTAAACTGAAATGTTTTGTTCAATTAATTGCATATATTAACTCATTAGGTCAGTCATTAAAAACAATGCTACAGTATTGAGAGTTTTATTTCTTGCACCTTTCACAGCACAGTTTATATTCTCGAACGAGTTAGATCATCCTTCCACCCCTATTTTCATCTCATTGATTTATGATTCGTCTGAATCTACGAAAGTTGTTTGGATTATTTTCTTCTTTTGGCAGCATTGGTGATAGGAGAAACGGAATTTAGAAATCTCCTGTTTTCCTAGACTCATCTCGAATTAACTAAGTGAGATATATTCATCCATATACATACAATATACGTATATCCAACGATAAGTATCATTACATAATTTACCGATCTCTGTACTTTCTGCAAAGATACTTACGTTGATACCATTTCATAGAACATGAGTTGCATTTTATGGATAGAGTTGATAGAGGGAGATTTAAATTACATCTATTGTTATGCCACTTCGAATAATTAAAGTTAAAATATCTCCTAAACTAATGGTTTTTTTATATAAATTGGCTCATATTTTTTATACAGAATTACGAGCTAGAAAGAAAACAAACTTGATGTGCATATATCCTCAATGCATCCTGTTATAAACAAAAACTAATCACGCCGAATTATGCCTTCCTTGAAACCTTCAACTTTTACCTGAAACATGTTTCACTAAAATCATTACTTACGCAGTAATCGAAGCGATCCCAGTTATTTGCTCCATACTGTATATATAATGAAGAATTACTTTCATTTCAAAATTCAGTACAATAAAAATTTATTTAATTACATAAAACTAAATAAAGTTTGCAAATTAATTACATATATATCTAATTTTGTTATTATTATAATAATTTATAACATTAATAAAAGTTTTAGAACAAATAGTTGCCTTATGGTTCTTAAATCTCGAATTTCTTATAATTTTCCACTATTTAAAAAAGGCCTTTGCACTTAAGATAGGTGAAATATAGGTTGCAAAAATTTCATTGTATAGTCATCTTATGATTTGTACTGATTTGTTATGATTTGTAAAATAATTACTTTTGTGTATGATCTTGATATGCTCAAAATCTCTACCTTTCTAAAGGAATAAACAAATATTAAGGTAATATATAAAAATTGAAGCAATATCAAGTATTTAGGAATGACTGACAACTAGCCTTTGTATGTAATGTGAAATTGCATTTCATTTTCATTTAATAGAATGTATTCATTTTGTTCTAAAATCATGTTCTATGGGTTACGTATATTCACAGGAAATTTGTTTGTACATTTCTACAATTCGTAAAAAAAAATTATTCCCTTGTAAATAATGGTGCCATTAGCTTCGTTAATTCGAGATTAGCCTATACATATACATATATACACGTACATCATACACGCATGTATACATACGTACGTACATTCATTCACAGTACATCTCATTAAATATAAGTGCAACATTCTCTTATCAATAATATGTGAAAGAAATATGCTGGCAATTGCTAAATCATTCAGTTACATAACTAACATATTACATTATGTATCATGACTCGCGATAATGATAATTGAATAAGGAAATGCTATTTTTCCTTAATTAAATAATCTGAAATGTAATGTTTCACCCGAATTTAAAATTTTCGTGCATTATTTTTCTCTGAACATTAAATATGTTAATAAAACGATTATATAACTATCGTTTTCACAGAAAATTTGTTTTAATTTAGAATATTAATAAAAAGTTAATAACTTAGAAAGATTTAGCAATACAAAAATTAATTCTTATTTGCAAATTTTTTTATGGAATAAACATGAATGTTACATAGTAATTAGAATAACAATTGTATCAACATCAATATGTAATTTTTTGTAAGATCAAGAACAGAATAACTGTACTGTCATATGATATTTAGTGAGACATTCTGTACATAATATATTGCTTCATAAAGGGTGGTATATTCCAAAGATGTAAAATTCTTGCATAAAAAATAAGATGACATAAAAAATATTTTTATGGTCATTATGGAAATTACGTTTCTGTCGTAATAATAATTGTAGCTCTGCATTACAAGAGGCAAACAATTTTTATACACACATGTATATAATATGTAGACTAATAATTTAATTTTTCTATTTCAATCACTTCAATGATAAGAGTTAGTAAACAAAAAAAGAAATTAGAATTATCAACACACACTACCTTACTTGAAATCAACCCTCGTTATAGAACTAAAATAATGTAAGTATACCGCTACCATCATAAAAAAGTAACAGAATTGGATTAAAAGAACCAAAACTCATCTTATTTTGAGCGTATGAATTTCTTGTTTTGGATACACCATACCTTATGAAATATATGTATATTATATTGCTTTATATTACGTAGATGATAAGTCATAATTCGTAATTTATTGTAAAATTTCTGCCCAAAACATGACGGTATTTACAAAATCATTCCGACCAAAGAGGAAATATTTTACTAGCTAATTATTATGAAGAAAATATTACATTTAAAATATATAGGTCGCACAAGACGCGATTCATTAAAAAACCAAATTTCACAAAATATATAGGCTTCAATACTAAATCAGAAAGTTTCCAAAATTTGGCATCCCATTGGAGATAAGTAAATATGTGAATAAAAAATAACTAAGCAAAGAATTTAGAATTATAAAATTTGAACAGTTTGAATTCTCAAAGCGACTTTTAAAATATTGTAAAATCAAATAAATAAAAATTCTTAGGACAAAAAAACACTAGAAAAACAAAATTTGTTGAAGTTAATTTAACCGACGAACGCAAAAAGATACTGCAACTAATACGAATAACAATAATTATCATAATAATAATAAAATAATAATAATAATTACAATTGAATTATATTTAAATGCATTAACATTTCTTAAAACAAGAATAACATTCATTCCTACAAACATATACGTACATATATGTATACATGTATATAATTACCAATATACATACATATATATGGACATATGCACATAAATATGTGTATATATTATATATATGTATATACACATGTATGTATATACATATATATATATGGTTTTTTATATCTCTAGGTGTTTCATTCTAATTAACCGATCAAACAATCGTTTTTAAGAGGTTCGTATTTTTTGAACACAGTTCGCGATTGCTAAACACTTTCACTGTAATAAACAATGACTTCTGTGTGTTAAGATTTGTTTGTTTCTTCTTCTGTATTCATTTAACTCCAAAATAAATTCCTCTATTATTATTTCACTTGAGTCTTAAGATGTTGCAAGAATTCGTAATAACTCAAAGAATTCTCAAAACGATCTTCAACTAATCGTTCAATAAAAAGCGTCCTGAAGTGACTGTCATCCCTGAAAATAAAAAATTACACATTTTATACATACATTCTATTGAGTTACATATTTTAACACTAAAAATAAGAAACTTACCGAATAATTTGTATAGAAGCTGGATAGGGTTTCTCCTCTTGCAAACTAAATATAAAATTTCGTAACCTTTCGCTTTCGGGTGTCTCAATCTCTGGTAACTCATACTGAAAACAAAAATATTTTTCTTTTATTTCCCATATGGAAAGGAGATGTAATATATAAAAGCTAAGTTTTGTCTAAAATAAATATTAAATTACTGATCAATTATGTAAGTATGAACTTACAAGTTCTTCTGGTATCGAGGGAAAAGCAGAGACTCCAAGAACATTACAACAAAACGAAGGATGAATATTTTTGCCGATTAAGATAAATATTCGATCACCAATGTCCATTAAGAAAGCACCCCGAGAATCAAGTTTTTCTGCAGAAAGATGCAGTCTAGGTGGTTGTGGGCATAATTTCCCATCAATATCTTTCGCATTTCGATCTTCAAGCGCATGAACAGGATACAGATCTGGATAAATCATTTGAATTAATTGAAACAGTGGTAGAGTTTTCAACTGGCACATTGCGAACACCCGGTCATCAAGTCTCGTATTTGTTCCTGACCTGAAGGCAACCTAAAAATTTATTACTTTTTAATTATAAAGAAATGGAAAATAAAATATCACATGGTTATTATACATTATAAAAATGAATATTATAAGACATGAATTGTTACATTGTTAAATTGTTTTGTACGATATGTAAAAGATATTAGCGAAAAATACTTTGCAGTAGCACAATCATTAAGACTATATATATGATGTATATAAAACATATACTTATGTTATCATATAAAAAATATGAGTCTTTAGATAACGCGTACACATTTGAGCAGAGCAATAATATGAAGAGGCAGTAGTTTTAAGCTTGCTGGAGCAAGAAGTCCACCAGAGGCCACTGATTGGGACAATTTGTAGGCTGATAAAACATCTATGGCAACATTTATCAGAGCGTCCCTTGCATCAGATAAAGAGGACTGTTGAGATCTGTCTACAGCTATAAAAGCATAAATAATAAAAATACTATACAAAGAATATGTCAAAAAATTATGAGTACATGTATAATAGTATAAAAATATAAACAATAAAAGAGATTGTAACATTCTTGAAAGTATACTCATTTTTTGTATATATTTGTCGGGTTTACATTAGAATTAGGGTTAGGGGCGTGAAACGAATGTTCATTTGGATTACACAGGATTTCCATTAGAATTAGGGTTACGGGCGTGAAACGAATCTTCATTTGAATTATACATTGTCGTTATGCAATAGAGAAGACATTGACTAGTGCAAATACGATTATTACAGGACTTGATAAGTAACCGTGGTACTTAGATACTCGGAGAGCTAATGACAATGATCCTAGGTTCAATAACGAATCCGTGGTCAACGGGATAACAGGATGCGCTTTCTTCCAAAGCCCAAATCGTACTCGACTTGCTTAGTTACGGTGGAAGTATAACTAAACTAACTCTTTATTAAAACGTGGAATATCCACCGAACGTACAGACTCGCTAATACGACTCACGAGAGAATAAATTTCCGTCGCGATAATGCTGCAGAGGAAAACTATGATGGGAGAGGAGAGCTATAACGGGGTGTGTCTAAGGACACGAGATCATCGGATGCGTCGAGGATAGCCTTCGTTCAGAAAGTGAGGGAAATTGACGTTGCTGTTAATTGGTCAATTTCCATGTCGGTGGCTAGAAAAGAATGCTAGCCGCCCTCGAGGGAAAGCTGCACGTGTACTGTGGAAACGCATCGACATCTGGCAATCATCTTATTTGAAGAATAGGGTCTGTAAATGGCAAGCTACGGGACAGAGACCGTTGAAATATTTACTGTCGGGTGTTACAACTATTTCCTTTTTAAGGAGAGCTATAGAATTACTCCATGCCTCTGCCAGACAAAGCTTTCATCCCGTGACCGCGGCTATGTTCGGCGACTGGTTGTCGCCTCGAGCCCAAGCTCATTATCACAAATCTCGAACAAATACAATCGGATCGAATGACAACAATTGTTTAATTACGCCTATGATAGAATCTAGATTACGGTGTTAAGGGATTTTCCCGAAGTTCCAAAGGGAAGGCTCCGATGTCCTTTCATCTCCGACATATTTATATACTTTCTTGCCATAAAATGTAGTAAAACAAATTTCAATCAACAAACAATCAAGTTTTTAATATCTGTGCTATTTAATGAAGTACTATAAATACTATATAAAAAACTGTATAATACCAAGAAAGAAATCTTACCCATTTTAGAAAGTAGGCCCACTATGCATTGTTGATCAGCGGAATGCAGAACATCTGATAAGGTAGATACTACCGGTAGGCATAATGTGTGTACCCTAATTCTTCTTTCACCTAAAATACATTTTTTAAATTTTGTCATTTCTAGTTCTATCATAGGAGTGTTTTAATATATAACATTTAATATATATTCTCAAGAATTAAATAGAATATTGTAAATAACACAGGACCTCACAACATTGTAGTTATTTTTATGTAAGATAGTCGAAATAAACAAAATAGCTTTTGTTGCATGAAAGTAATGATAAATAATATAAATACTATACGAGATATTTCTTAATATTTTCATAATCTTTTATCATAACAAAACTCTTTACATAATAATACAAAAATATATCTACCTTTACTTGAGGTATAAAGTAAAGCTGCCTGGAAACAGACGTTTTGCACATCTGAAAGATTCTCTTCTATAGAGATTTGCATTCCAAAACCAGCATCCGGATTGACGTTAGGCAAACTAAGCAGGTCAGTTGACCTTACAAAGAAATTTCCATGGAAAGTATGAATGCTCAGTCCTCGTGTACATCGTATTCTCATCACTGCTTCAAAACCGATCTTTCTGGTAATATAACGTCTCAGTATTCTATCGAGAGTTTCCGCGTGTTGTGGTTTTGAACCCCGGAATAGAGGAAGATGGTATATACAACCTCCAGAGAATTTGCACATACCCGCTATAAAATAAAATTTGTATTTGTTTAACTTTTATTGTTTCTATTTTTTAGTACAGTTAACTTTAACCATCTTTTTAGTTATACGGACGTTAATAAATTTATTAAATACTTAAAATTTATGATAAGAGAAGAAAAAAATTTCTATGCATAAATGATAAAAATCTCGATATATCTCCAATAGTTTTGCATTAATAATACATTGAAATATCACTAATTGGTAAACAATACAGAGAATAAATTAATACATACAAAGAGTAGCTAGGTCACAGTATTGACAGTTTAATAGGAATAGATCGACTGCAATTTGCTGTCCGCTGCAATCTAGCGCCAACCTTTTATAAAAATCTGTAACTGGATTTAAATGTGGTACATCTTTACTCCCTCTACTATTTGGGTCCTCTCTTGCTTGCAATAATCCTGGACCTATATTTGGCAAGCAAGTTTGGAAGACAGTCACACGTCCACCAGTTGGTGACTAAAATAGGAAAAAATAAGATTTTGGCGACTGAGCTAAAAAATTCCACTTATTTTTTATATATTTTTTGTCTTCTACTTAGTAATACATTTATTGTTATTGGTTTATCTTTAATATTAGATCTTATTGTAAAGATTCTTTAAGATAATCTAACATACTCTTTCACAAAATCTGTTTAAATTAAATAATTCAAACTACTTAATTATTCTCTGAATGGATAAATATACTTTTCGCGTACCATAAGTTTATACGCAGCTTGTAACGCCGCACCCAAAGCATTATTTGTATCATGAGTTCCTTGAAATTTTGTGGGCAATTGAGCCAATAAATCTCTTACTAATTCTTCTCGTTCTTTTAAATTGACAATTAGATTTTCCGGACATGGAAGAAACACATCTGCATAAAGATTTCTTACAATTAGACACATATGTTAGTAGTTAAATATAACAGTTAAATATATACTTCAAACTCAATACGTAAAATAAGTTCAAAAAGTAAAATGAGTATGATTTTACCATCAATGTCAAGCATGATCATTTCCTGAGGTTGTGATACATTGTCAGGTATGCCAAAGAAGTGTATTGCAGAATCTACTGCTAAAAATCCAATTTGTGTCCTACTATCGCCAGGCAGCCTTGATAATTCTTCTGAAATTACGTTGCACACTATGGTCAAGTAACCGCTCTCAACTGCCAGTCTCGAAACGTCCAAAACAAACAGATATACAGCTGGCTGTGGTGGACGTAGCTTAAACATATGTATTGTTTTAATTATTTACTTTTCCAAATTTCACATTACTTCCAACTTTTAATTTTAACTTTGATTTTAAGAATAATTCAATAATAATTATGCAATTTCTATCATTATGAAATATATGTTAAAAGAAAAAATTTTTTTATATAAATCATTTTTATAAAAATATCAACAAACAAATATTTGAATACTTGATTGAACGATATAATTATGAATGAATTATATATTAATTTTTCAAATTTTTTACCATGTATTCACTAGGTGCAATAAACTCAATCGTACTAGTTTTTACTTCTGGTCTTCTTGATGGATCTCCATATGATTTTGTTACGGGATCGAACTGAAATTCGTCTGGTACTATAAAAATAATATTCGTATAAATTTCGGAACATGTAAAATTTAATATTTCAACACAATAACAAAGTGAACAAAATATTAAAATATAACAATTGAATAAAAATAACTTAAAATACACAAATTTATGCTTACATTCGTTTACTCTATAACAAAGATTACACTTCCATCTTTTTGAGTCATTGAAGTATACAAATGGATTAATATATGTTCTGCAAGCACGACATCTAACTATTGTACTGCATTGTATCACTGGTAAATGCTGGAGGTACAACAATGCTTCGTTACTAATAAATTTATACACTATATGTTCAAATTAAACAACAAAATGTTTTACTTACATTTAAATCTCTGAAGGGATGTATTAAAACTCCTAAAGGCAACCTAGATTTCTGCAGTAAAGTATTTGACTCGGGAATCTTCGTGAGTGTGCAGCGGAAAATGCTGAAAAAGGGACAAAATCGTTAAAAAGTAAAATTAGAAAATTAACTAATCTCACTGGGTCATAATAAATTAACTAACTGTTCATTAACTGAGTAATAAATTAAATAAATAACAATAATGGAAATATTACTTATATTTAACAACTCAATCTGCCTAATAAATCATTGTAGAAAGTACTTACTCGGGACTACAATTAACACTGTCTAAAAACTCTTGGTGAAGTTTAATTTTTGGTGGTTCTACTTTCTCTGTTGGGAGGACATTCCTACATTGCAAAAGATCAACAGTTTCCATTCCCTGAAAAAAAGGCAATAATAAGTAAAAAGAATACAATTATTGCCAAATTGCTTCAAAATAACAGATAATACTAATAACTATCTGACAAACATTATTACATGATTAGAACGAATAGCCATTATATATAATTAGTGATAAAATATAGAACTATTTAATCATTCTTTCTTGTATTACTTACCCAAAATTTATTGTAGCCATGTTGCGTGACAGTCATCATATTCATTTGACTATTTAAGTGATTCATTTGATCAGGATATGTCTCTGAGTATCGCTTATTCATTGGATCTGGTGGCATACTACTCATTGGATTTGGTGGTTGATTTGGATACTAAAAGAAAAATAGACACAAACTGTATATTAATTATCGTTGTAAATAGTATACATAAAAATAATTTTGTTTGATGTCAGTTTTTAAATTATAAAAACGTACAAATCAAATCAGTACTTTCAGTAATTTAATAATTTTTTTGTACAGTTATATTTCAAATCTGTCATTAAATAATAATTTATTAGAAATAATGGAGAAACGCAGTTGCAGATACTTGGTAACAAGGATGAAAAACAAAGATATAAGACTGCTAGTAAAATACAGATATGGAAACAAAACTAAAACTAAAGATTATTGGAAAGAGAATGAAGAAAAAAATACAGAATCTGTAGGAAGTGGAAGAAGACAATGAGATACGTGTTACAAGTGCGTGAGGAAGACCAAAATTTGAAGAAGACCTGAAAATGATATTAGGAGAAATGGGACAGGGAATAGAAATATTGAAGAGAATAGAGAAGGCAAGGGAGGGAAAAGGCATAAGGGAGAGAGAAAGAACAAAGGAGGGAATTAAGGAAAACAATATGTAAATGTAGAAATCTTAGAATAGTCCATAGGTAAAATATATAGAATGTATATATATAAATAAAAATGAAGATGAGAAAAGATGAACAAAAAGTGTGGAAGTATAAGAGTCAATAATACAAGATACAAGATATAAAGCCCTAAGTCGATACTATGTATAATAAATAAGTAAATAATAATAATTTATTATAATTATTTAAAAAGTCTATTATTACATGAGCCAAAATTAATGAAATGTTGAACAAGAACAGGAAGAATCATTTTTTATCAATTAAAAGATTTTGCATTTTATACTTAATGTCTAATTTTTATAATATACATATAAAATGACAAAATTACTTAAAAGCTCTTGTATTTACTTACCCATACTTTATTGTAGCCATGCTGTGGAAGAGGCATCGCGTTCATTTGACTATTTACGTGATTCATTTGATCAGGATATGGTTCTGAATATCGTTTATTCATTGAATCAGGTGGCATACTCATTGGATTGGGTGACTGACTTGGATACTGAAAGAAATGATTTTTATTAATTATAATTTCAGATACAAACTTTATACTTTACAGGAAAGGCTACTAACACGCAGAAACTTGTTTCAATAAAAATACAAGATTTAAGAAATTACAAAACAAATCTTAAAGATAAAAAGACACTAAAAATAAAACTAGAAATAAAAGAATATATAATCTTAAGGTATGGAAAACAAATAAAAATGTTAAACATTTCTTATATTTTCTTATTTTACTAAAAATAATATTCAAATAACATCTTTAAAATGTAATAACATTTAATAAAATTTAATTGTAATGTTCCTTAACAATTACATCTTTTACTAACTGAAAAACTAAATTTATATCGTACTTGAATTTGATATCTTAATATCAATTTTCCGAAATTAAATCAATTGAAAGCGGTCAGGGAAATCAAAAGGTTAAAATGTCATGTCTAAGTGAAGATGCCGTGAAGCCTAAACTTTTCTTCAGTTTCTTTAGTATAGAGAACATTTCTCACCTTTTGGACAACTTTACTACGGCGAATATGAAGAAAAATTTAGACCTCACTGCCACATGAGATGTGCATTGCACTTTTACAGTGTAATTCACCGTTAATTGTCGAACCGACAGTACGTCGTCGACGCGACACACAACACAACATTACGTGGCAGCTTACTTGACAGAAGCGCCATTTTCGCTCTGTGGAGTGATCGCTAACCATACACATATAACTCGATTTTAATAAAAACGAAGTAGCGTTTGAAAAATTTTGTTTATATTTTTGACATTTTTTTACATAGAAATCCTCTTACCGATTTTACCATGATTATGGGGCAGATGTGTGCATATACATATCTATGTTTCTTATGTTCGATTTACGTTTAAAAAGAGCGAACAAATTTTAAAAGGGTACAGAATAATGACAATGTTCGTTCCCACTTTAACATCTCTTAGTATATATACAAGATGTTAAAAGAAACACATTTAGTATGATTTTTCATTGTGAATGATCGAGTTTCGAGTATTAAAAATTCTTTAAAGAAGTTAATAATGAGATTAGGGCGTGTGAAAGAGAGTGTTGCCACCCAAAGTTTATGTAGTCGAACATGTCTTGGAAATGTTTAAATAATTTGTGTAATGTATATGAAGACAAATAAAAAAAGAAAAAATTTGCCTTAGAATGTATATATTGCGTGAAAGACGCATGTCTGAATTAACTTTTTAATAGTAATGTACGAGTTTAGTTTTTGTATCATGCAATGTGTTGTACTGCCAAATAGTTTTATTTTGTATTGTATTAAAATCTATACTTTAAAATTATTACCAATATATTTGACGTTTAAATTATCTTATAATCTCAACTTTACATATTTTCAAAGATAATACAATAAAAATTTCTATAATATTCCTATTCATTTTTTACTTTGAAAACGAGTAATGTATTAACCTAACCTAAAATCTACAAAAATAATATATATATGTATCTGAATGAACCTAACCTCCCCGTGTTATTTAAATTATTTAATTACTTACAGTTATGCATACACCTTAAATCATTTAATATAAAATAAATATAGGCTATAGCATAATTACGTTGTAATCTACTTTTGTATACTAAATGTGAATTAAAAATTAATAAATCCATGTTACATTTGTCATTTTAATTATTATTGTCACAATAATACTCATCTTTTAATTACAAAATGTTTAACAAGTTTGTACCTCATATATTATTTTTGAACTGTGGATGTTAACGCATTACTAAAATATCCAAATGCATAAATATATATAAAGTGCATATAATGTACATGAATGTACAAAATATCAATAACAAAGTACTTGTTACAATATTAAAAGAACAAAATAAATTTCAATTTAGGTTTAGTTATAGTTATAAAAATTTGAATTTACACAAGCATCTGCAATATAATTTTTAATCAAATGTAAAATTATTGAAAGATATCTTTTTTATTACTTACTAATAATTTGTTATAGCCGTGCTGCGGTGGTGGCATCATATTCATTTGATTATTTAGGTGGTTCATTTGATCAGGGTGCGATTCTGAGTATCGTTTCATTGAATCTGGTGGCATACTCATTGGATTTGGTGACTAACTATAATACTGAAAAAGAAGATTAAATACTTTCTTTCAATTATAATTTCAGATATAAACTTTACATTATATACAAAGTGCATGCATAAAAATGTTAAACATTTTTCATATTTATTTGATCAAAAACAATACTTCAAAAATATCTGTAATATATAATAACTTAATCGAATTTATATGTAGAAATGTAATACAGTTTATTAATTACCACAGAATCTTGTACCATCTAAGAAACTAAATTTGCGACATACATTTTTTAATACAAGATATAGATAACTGGTATCTCAATATTAATGTTCAAAGATTAATTTAATTAATTAATTTTTAAAGATTAAGAATCCAAGGAGATCAAGAGGTTAAAACGCTATATTGAAGTTGGAATACTATGAAGTTTAAGCTTTTTCAGTTTTTATGGCATAGAGAATGTTTCTTACCTTTTTGACGAGGTTACCACAACGAATATAGAGAAAAATTTAAATCTCACTGCACTATGAGACGTGCATTGCACTTTTTACAGCATAAGTCGCCGTTAATTACCGAAGAGACGTACCCGATACCTCGTTGACGCGACACACAACATTACGTGGCAGCTCACTTGACAAAAGCGCCATTCTTACCTGCGGAGTGTGTGCGTACCACATACTTTAAATCATTCCTGTGTAATCTTACATTTTATATTGAACAAAAAGTAATCTATAATATGAAAAATCGAATATTTGAAATTACAAAATATAAAAATAATACTAGTAGATAGATACTAGTTACTAACATCACAGTTACTAACATTATAACTTTTGTTTTTCTCTAATTTAATAAACTGTAAATTTTATTACACTGCTATATGTTAAAATATTACATTTAATTTATAATAAAAATAAAACAATCTTTTTAATTCTTAATATTGCTTTTTTATTTCTTATTGTTCTTTAATCATTTCACAATCATCTTTTAATTATGTTTAATGTTTTTTACCTAAAACAATATTGTTACTTAGGGATTTTGTTCACTGTATATAAATTCGGATCAGAAAACTTAAAAGATCGCTTAATTTTCGTCTATAATAAACGTGTAATTAAAACTTTCTTAAATATTTTGTAATAAAAATTTTATTTTGATATTTACACATAAGATGAAACTCGTAGTTGAAACGTCAAACTATTGATTTGACGATCTGTCAAACTATACTGTTTATCCACATATATATATACATATTATGCAGAGGTGTTTCAGTCGTTTTATTCAGAATTTATTATTTAATACATTGATAACATAAAAAGGATAGAAAATAATATTACATTTGTTATTAGATCTTGCAATTGTCATTATTAAATAAATGAATCATTTTATGAAGTCTTAATTTCAATACCATAATATACATAACCTATATAAAGTTTGCTGCTTGCAAGTTGATTTGATCATACTGTGATACATTCCTTTTTATTACAAAAACATGAGTGCTTATAACGTAATAACATCAGATTTTGTAAATGTATCCATTACTAACTCTGGTCACAACTCACATTGCATAGAACGGCGATTTCAAAAAGGAATAACAATTGATGAATTTAAAGTAAGAATTTATTGTAATAGTTATTGTATATTATTGTTTGATATATGCTATTATATATTCTTATTTTAATTATATTAAAGGGAAAATTGGAACTTCTTACTGGTGGTAATCCAACAACAATGAAAATTGAAGTATATGACAAAAATGACAAATTAATTTGCATATTAGATAATGGTCAACGTTTATTAGGATCATATCCTATTGACGATGGAATGCGAATACATGTAAAATACATTTATAATATAAACATAGTAACATAGCATAAAAATTCTTTTCAACTGCAATGGTATTATACATATAAAAATTTTAGGTGATAGATAATTTTTCTTGTACTGAGGAAAATTTAAATAATGTAGAGAAATTTGAAATATCTGAAGAAGAATATGCTAAAAGATCAGGTAAAATAATTAATGATGTACAAATTATAATTATATAAATGTAAATACAGAGAGGATTTAGTCCATCCAAAAATATGCATTTCTATTTTAAAAAGTAATGTAATTATTGAATGCACATGCACAATTGCACTTATAAAAAGAATATATTCCTATAAATGTAATACTTTTTGAGCCATTTATCCCTTGACCTTTTCCTCTAATTGCACTGATAACAGAGTTATGATCTGAAAAAGTTGCATAGACTATTTTGTATATTTGTACTAAATGTTAAATTTCTAATGTTTCAGATACTGTAAAAGCATTCTTGGAGAAAAATAAATTAGGAAAATATAATGAGGAAGAAATGAAAAGAAGAGCAGAAGAAAAGAAGCAAGAAGAAGAAGCAGAAATAGCAGCTGCACAGTTATGTAAAGTTGGTGATCGTTGTGAAGTTTCTGTACCAAATCAACCAAAACGAAGAGCTACAATAATGTATGTTGGTAAGTATAGCTATTCCTGTTTAAATTTATTGCTTGATTATATTATCTTTGTTTATGATTTGTCTGTAGGTAAAACTGAGTTTAAAGAAGGTTGGTGGATTGGAGTAAAATATGATGAACCACTTGGTAAAAATGATGGAACGTAAGATCATTATTATTTTATGCTTGCTATTTCTTATCATTATATAGTTTATTTTTAATTTTTTGCATAATTTACCGTTATAGTGTCAACGGAAAAAGCTATTTTGAATGTTTACCAAAATATGGTGGGTTTGTAAAACCAATACATGTGAAAGTAGGAGATTTTCCTGAAGAAGAATTTGACTTGAATGAAGAACTATAAAACACAAACATGTTTTGCCAATCTGGTTTTCACTACGAATTATAACTGAAAGGAAATTTAAAATTAATAATATTTATTACACATATAAAAATGCTTAATATTTTCTTTGCTTTATTATATCCAACTTCCAGTTTATAGGATGTATCTCTTTAGTATGAAAATAATAATAAAAAAGAAATTGTGTCTTTTTATATTAATTATTGGCACGATAATATTTAAAAAATGATTTTCTTACAGCAGTATCATTTTTATATACTTTTACTATTTTGTCTGCCTCTCTTGTAATTATATGGGTACCAGATATATCGAATGTACTACTAAATACTCCAGCTTCACTGTCCATTGAATCCGGTTAAACTGGTGTTTGTAAGCATTGGTAATTATACCTTAAAATATATCTATATAAATATCATAAACAATGCTGGAAATCAATTGAAAAAATACAATTTTTATATGAAGTATCATATTTACCCTGTTCTTCAGTTCCAAAGATTTCCAATGCCTGCTCCAGAAACTAGTACGCCATCAGCATTAACAACTAAACAATTAATTATTGCATTATAGCCAGGTAAATTCTGAATGAATTTTCCTTCTGAACATTTCCATTGCTTGATGTTATCTGGAGATGCTGATGCGAACATATATCTAATGAACAACATAAATTAGATGAAGGAATTTATACATGTTGAACAATCTAAAGAAATAAAGTACACATACAGTGATGGATGAAAAGTCAACTCTTTTATTTTTCTTGTAACTTCTTAAAGTAGCTCTAGATCTTCCAATATCTAAATCCTATAATCATACAGTACAATTGTAACTTCCAGTGATAAGCTAGTAAAAAAAATAAGTAAAAATATATATAGTTAAATATCTTTTTTAGGATATATAACATGACATGATTTGATGAATCTTGATACCTGTGGTTCAATTATTTGATGAATTACACTAGCAACTATGTTGGTGTAACCAAGTGTATGTACATTTATTTTTGTTCACATGTTCCATACCCTTGCAGTAGAATCTCTACCTGCATTTACTAATACATCAGTATTAAGATGCCATGGAATATACTTGCTGATCTTCTCCACAAGAAAATAGATATGGATGTCTTCGAGAAAATGCAAGTTTACGAACACTAGTTATGTCACCAGTTAAAGAAATTTTTAATTTTCCACTTGTAAGATCCACTTGTAAGATATCTGAAATTTTTAGTAAGATAAGGGTTATTATGATCTACAAAATTTATAGGTAAAATTGGTCCATGAAACTGTATAAAATAAAATTGCTATATATTATGTAATTTAACAAAAATATTAAATAAAATAATAATCTTACTTTAATTATTCTGTCTGGAAATTCTGTTGCAAACCATACATTTCCTGGTTCAATAACCAAAATAATAAAAGATGATCACTAATAATCCTATATAATTGCATGCTACTTGGGTTTTGTTGGGTTTTTTTGTAGTATGAATGATGACATATTAATTGAAATTCCTTCTGAATTTGCTTGCATTTTTACTACCATATCATTGTTTTATATAAAACTGTAATAAACAACTACAGCATTATTATTTCCTTTAAAAATTTCATCTACAAATTATATCATTATTAATAAAGGAATAACATAAATATAATTGATATAATAAATATATATTTATAAATACTACCTGGTAGAAGTGAATATATATTTTCATTTTTGTTTTCATTTTGTGCTTTCATTATATTGTTAATTTTGATAAGCTCTAATACAGAACTATAACAATCTTTTGCTTTTATGGATTTTTTTATTTTTCATCTGCAAAACATTATTTTATTCTTTCTTAATTTTCATTTAAATTGCAAATACGAAATATACTTACAAGTTAAGTATCAGGTAGTAAAGTATCTTGATTTCATAAAAATATATTGTGTGTTATCTTTAAGGATCGAAATACAAGAGTATGTATAAAAAAAAATTACAATGTAAGAGAATGCCTTTGTACATCCTATGGAGAAAAAAATAATTTGGCCATTTCTTATTTAAAAATCATTATGTAGTATAATTTATTTTCTGTTTATTCACAAAATTACTTAATAATATAATAATTACCTAATCTAAAAATGTGATCAATGATTATTTTAAAACAAAGTGCAGTGCTCACCATTTTTGTGATGTATTATATGAATATTGTCTCAATTAATATAAATTTAAAAATACCTTATAAGTACTCTAATTCTGTTATTGATACATTACGAATAAATGTTATAATTTTAAATCTCTAACTATAGAGATTTTCATTTTAAAGTAATATAAATGGCAGCACTAAACCAAGATGGTCGCCAGCTCTACAAACTATTATGTATTCTATAAGACGGAGACTTTCTCTCTAGAATAACTATAAGTTTAATGATTTATACATATTGCACACTGTTTTATATCCACAAAAAAGGGTTTTAAAATTAAAAGAACATAAAAATTATATTTAGAGAATTTTAAAATAAAAGAAAGATTGTGTTTGAAGAATAAAATAATGGTAGCAAGGAAAAAATTGAATAAACTGAAAATAAATAAATTTAATGTTGATTTATGGAAAGACGAAAACACAAGAGACATTGATACCAATTGGATGTCTTCGGATACAGTCAGACATACATTAACACATTTTGGAGTAAAAAAAAAGAGAATACCTATTTCTTTGCGCAAAAAACCATCTAATATACCGGCAGTTGAGCCACCACATCCAGGAATGTCTTATAATCCTTCGTTTGAAGATCATCAAAATCTATTACATGAGGTGGCTCAAAAGGAAATAGAGCTTATAAAAGAAGAAGAACATCTTAATAGAGTTACCACAAAGATGTTCAGAAAGGTACATCTATCTATATTCATACATCGAAAGTAGATTATCATATTAGAATTTTATTCCAGGTTTCACCTGAAGAAAAAGAGAATAACTTGATAAAAGAAATGTCAGAGGGTCTAAAATTAGAAAATGATAGAAATCCTAATGAAGATGAGGATGATGACCCAACAGTAAGGTTTGTAAATTCAGTTGTTAGAAACCAGAAGAAAACACGTGTGCAAAGGCGCAAACAAAAAGAACAGAAAGACTTGGCACATAGAAAAAAACAGGAAAAGGTAGAAAGAAAAAAAAGCTCAGATATATATAAATTGAAATTATTAAACAGTCAGTTGGCTGCTAAAGAAAGGAAACAAAAAATATTAAGAGAAAAGAGGTTAAAAAAGAAAGCACTTAAAGAAGCAGGTACTAAAACTCTTAGTAAAGTTAAATTTGAACCCTTAGAACCTGATTTTAAATTATCTAATGAATTAACTGGAAATTTACGAAATACTGAGCCAGCTAATAGTCTGTTGAAAGACAGATTCAAGTCTCTTCAAAAAAGAAATATTGTTGCTCCTGCTAATATTAAATTGTAAGTATATAATAGTTTTTTACATAAATATAAAATTCTGTTTCTGTTAGGTGAATGTGCTAAAAGATTAATTTTTACTAAATTTCTTTAGAATAATTTAAATATTTATAGTAGTTACATAAATTTGTTTTTCTTAAATATTAATTACATTTTCTTTTATATTTTATATTTTTGATACTTTCTTTTAATAAATTTATAGATTTTATTGATAATATCTACCTCTTATTATTACAGGAAACGAGACAAAGCTAGAGTGAAACGCTTTATAAAACCAGATCACAAAATTGATATGACAAAAATTGGCATGAAATAGTCTAAACATGAAGTTATAATTTTTGTAAAATTATGTATATAAATAAAAGTTAAGTAATAATTGCTATGTTTATGTGTAATATTAATAAATAGAAAACATTTTTTTTACACAATTTATTGTCTATAAAAAAACTAAATTACTATTTGAATTACATGTTTTGGAAACGTTATATTATGACATGACTTATTATTTTTGTTAAGCATAAAAAGTTCTATTAAATAATTTAGGATACTAAAATCTGTAAGTATTATGCTAATAACAAGTAGATTTTGTATAAAAAATAAAAAATTATGTTTTTCCAAAGAAATAATAATGCTGATAAATTAAAAAATACCTTTGCAAACAATTTTAAATAGTAGATTTTATTCTTCTATGATGTCAGATTATGATTCCTCTGTGAGCTCATAGTTTGCATTTAATTTGTATTAATTTTCTACATGAAAATCAGTAGTATCTTTGAGAATATCTTCAATGAATGATTCTTGAGATTCTCTATCTTCAATAGATATTTCTTTTTGTTCCTTTACACCATCAATATATTTCATCTAATAAAATTGAATAATAAAAATTTCAAATTTAATTAAATAATCCACATATATTAATTTGATAATATTTATTTACTTCATCTAAAGTTTCTTTACTCGATTCTTCTATAAAATCTACTGTTATTTCAAAATCAATATCTTCAGAGATGTCCTCTATATGTGACACAGATTCTAATTCTTGTGGTATAGTTTCAGACCTCAATTTATTTACATATGTTAATTTTGAAAAATTTTCTTATACAAAAATATTGCATTTTCGCAATATTTTGCAAAACTAAAAGTATATGTAATTAATATATAATTAATGTAATTACTTACGATTTAATAATGTGGCTTCGAAGTTTTAATTGTCTTTTAATAAGTAAATCTCTCAAGAATAAGAATGACTCAATACAACTTAATGTTATTAGATCCTTGCGACTAGAAGGATACTACAAAATATTCAGATATACATACAATTAATGTAATACAAAATTAGTCTTTTAAATAATTAAAATAAATATCGAAACTTTAACGTTATTTACGCAGTTAAAAACTGAAATTAGTATAGAAAGATATTTTAGCATACTTTTAGTAAACACATTGCATTATACTTCAAATCATAAATTGTTTCCAAAAGTGCTCTTATTTTGCATTCTAATTTTTTCAAAATATATCTCGCAACGCTAATTTTTGTTCTTTCTTTATGAAGTAAAGCTTTCAGTGATGAGAAACGAAAATTAATGTCGTTCTCTTCTCGACGGGCATTTTCTATCAATATTAAATATTTCTGTTCTGCATCAGGATCAAGAATATTAATAGATGAAAGATATCCTTTTGTATTGTAAAACTTCTTCCTTAATCGTTTCAGTACTTCATTCTGTACTTTCGCGATTACTATATTTTCTCTTATGAAGGCAGTTCGTACACCCATTCTCTTTTTGTAATCGATTGCTGCATTTCTATACATAAAAAGAACATAATGTTACTAAACTTACATAAATATATATTATTGCAAAATAATATACATAAAGTTAAATAATTATATATATTAATTTATTATTAATATATAATGCGTTATTTGTTATACATTTTTTAAATATATTTAAAAAGAAGAAAAGTATATTTCAAATTTTTGTAATATAAAGAAAAATGAAATCTAAAGTATTACTTAAGAATGATATTAGTGTCAATATTCGATGAAACTCTTGTAGAAATTTGTAATAATTCATTTTTTAACATAATATTTTCTCTCATTAATCTTTGATTTGGCAAATTTATATGTTTGTTAACTTCTTTCTGAAACTGTATCGCTAGATCATGAAGACAATCGTACATTTCATTTTTGACCCTGCATTGAAAAAGTCCTGTAAATCATTTTTAACGAAAAACTTTCTCCTCATTTTTTGTTCATGATAAGATAAATTTTTTCAACGAAACGTATAACGAATAAGATATTAATACATTTCCTTATCGAATTCAATCTTTCGATTAATAATTTCCATCGTTTCTTTTATTTTTTCTTCATTCTCCACCATTTGCACCTCGTTTGCTTGGAACTTTTTTTTCAGTACATCTTGCATTTTTTTAAAATCTTCCAAAACATTAATTCTCACATCTAGAAAATTGGTCGAACTTTTTTCAGAAACATAATTTCTTACGAACAAATATCAAAGAACGGCAGAGTGTAAAAAGAATAAGGAAAAGAAATCTTTATAAGTTACTTAAGACTTTGATCTGAGAAATTAATTCAACCTTCGTTTTTTTGTACTTTTGAGCAAACAGTTCTATTTTCTCTTCGTGTAATCTCTTACTTTCTATTCGGTCATTTTCTATGATATCGATCTTTCCTTTTATACTTTCTACTAAATTATTTTGGGTTGAAAGTAGTTTGCTTAAATTTGCAATCTCTTCAGTCGTTTCTGCATCTACTATAGCTGTTTGTTCATTTGTAGTTTCGATTGCATTTAGTAATTCGTCGTTTCTTTCGTCAAACCTAGATATTAATTTCGATACTGATCCCTAATACTTTCAAAAATGTCCTAATTTTTATCTTTTATTATACTACATAGTATTCAGATGTAGGAAAGCATAACAAAATTAGGAGATGTATTTATGAAGTTTAAATTCGTTTTTAACCTGTTTATTCTATTTTCAATATCTGCAATTTTAATACTATAAAAGGTTTTTTGTAAATTAATAATCGTTGGCAGTCTTTTTTGGTCTTCATCTTCATACGATTGTAATTTTGTTGACAATGAAATGTTTCCCTTATCTTTGCCGAATAAATCCACCATTTTTCGTAAAATAAAAATTGAATACTCTTTCATATACCATATACTAGTATATATGAAAGAAAATAATATAAAAGAAGATTGTCAGTGAATGTTAATATTGTATATATTATTTATGTTATATTGTATATGTTATTCGATTGTTATAAACAAAAACAATATTATGTCAGATTTTTACAATTTGTTATTAAATATTGCATTATCCTCTTTTATTTGGTATTAGTAAGTTTTTCTACATTTGTATTATCTTCTTTTCCTTATACACATGTAGATTTATTACTACAACAATAAATTATTTTGTATTTATATAGTAATTGAAATAAAGATATATATATATATATATAATGGTCGTTTATTAACTTACAACAGTGATTATTAATAATAATAATTGACTTCAATTTCAGTTCAATGAACTATATGTTTTTGATTTATAAATATACTTTGTCAATTTGTATATTTCCTCTGTAAGCAAAATTTCAATGTCAAGAACAAATTGTGTTGTTCATTTGTAGGTTATGTTACCAAGCATCACGGTAAATTTATACGTATAAATACGCAATTAGTTGTATATCATCATCAACAATGTAGCTTTTTTTAGTTTCGAGTTTTTATTTTTCCAATTTTAGAAGCATATAGCCGATATTTGTACAATTTGGAGCTAACTTCAGTGATTCGATACAACAGAACAATATAACACGCAAAATTTTATAAAGCAGTGATGAAACAGCTGATCCATCGATTTTTAAGTGAATAACATATTTCGAAAGCCTAGTGATAATAAAACAATTGTAAAGCACTATCTTTTTCGTATGAAAAGATTATATTTTTGAAAGTGATCATAAATACTCATTTACGTGATAACCGAAAAGATGTGCGTTGACGTGTCTCAATGACGTAACTTTGTCTTTCTGCCACGAAAAGTCGAATCCACCGAAAGGATATTTTAAAATGAATTCGAGAATATCTTTATCAAGCTGTTCAAACTAAAAGTAAGAGTCTAAGTATAATTACTACAATGTAATTTCTTTCATATTTTACGTTATATTCGTTGAAGTTTAGGTTATAGAACACAACAAAATAACATTTTTGTAAATATTGTATACAAAAAATGTTGATGTGTCAAATGTGATTTAAAAGTTGAAGTTTTCCTATTATGATGGCTCAGTAACGAGATAAAAATTTTAATTTATAATACATTTGTATCATAAAAGATATCTGTAGATTATCAATAGAAACATTTTTATAATACATGTTCTTTCTACTAAAAGTTATCTATTGATAACTGATATTTATCTTATTGATATTGAATTGACAACTGAATTGATTTTATATTCACATCAAGGTCAGCTGATTAACAAATTACAATCAAAATATAATTTGGAAAAATGAAGCTAAGAAAAGAGTTGATTTTACTCTTGCTGGTGATGTCTGCTGCCTCAGAGTCAGATGTTTCCAAGAAACGATCAGATACTTCTGAGGAAGAAGCAGAAGAAGATGTTAGTTTAGAAGAAAATGCGTTTGAACATTTGCAAGAACTAAAGGCTTTGCATGACAGTATTTTGAAAATAGTACCAGCCAATGAACCATATCTTAATGATAAAATTACAAAGAGGAAAGAGGGAACGGAAAATGAACCAAAAACAAAGGATGAAAGTCCTGTAATGAAAAATGTCTGGATGAAAACAATGATAGCTCAAACTAAAAATATAGATTTACCAAATAGTAATTTAAGAATTGAAGAAGAGGATAATGAAACATGGGGTGAAGAAGAGCAACTTGAACCTCTTAGTGATGAGCCTCAAGAACCTCTTACTCCGGAGCAACAGGAAGGTATTTCAATTAAAGTTTATTGCAATTTTTATAATATAATTAATTTATATTTTTTGAACAAATAATTAGTTTACTATTTAATTAAAATAAATGTTTTATCATTTTCAGCGGAATTAATATTTAAGAAGGCACAGAGTCTCTTAAATGCAACACGCTCAAATAAAGAAGAAGCCTATAAGTTATTAACTTCTGCAGCAATTCTGGGACATCGAGAAGCTTGGTCTATGTTAGCATGGGCTCAGTTGTTGGGTACACAATTTGGTTCAGCTTCTTCTGGTCAAGATATTTCAGCAGCTTATGAGATTTTTAAGGAACTTGCTGAAACTGGTTTACCATCTGCTCATATGGTTTGTAAATTTTTTTTATATGTATTTATATGGTTTTTTATCTATAATAATGTAGGATCTTACTACAATTAGTTTCTTTAAAATGGATTAAACAGGTGTTGGTTAAACAGGAAACGACGGTTGTTTAACGCGAACTAAATACAATAACGTACTATAATTAAGACAACTAAATAGTTAATTTTCAACTCTCGTCACCACGGTTCCAACGCTCTCTCTCACGCGAACCACACCCTCTCGACAACGCAGTTCGCACTCTCTGACTTCTCAACTAACACTGACTATTAATTCATTTTTCTCCCTTAGCATCCCTTTATCTTTTCTCTTAGCCCCACAACGCACGTGTTCCGCAACCGCTCGTGGCCAGGGTCACGTAGGCCTCTTCCGCGTAGCTATTCGATTGAAGAACCGACGATACATTTTTGGGCCTGTCGGCATTTAGGCTTTCTCGCGACATTGTTTATGGTTCGCCCGGTATCTCTTAGACTTTTCATCCACGATACTACAATATGTTACATTATTATTATATGTATAAATGAATTAATAAATAGGAGTTGTAAGTTAATAAATATCTATGGGCAAATTATTTTCAGGGTATGGGTTTTCTATATGCGACTGGATTAGGTGGAGTACAAGCATCACAAGCAAAGGCATTGCTACATTACACAGTAGCAGCACTTGGTGGAGATACTCGTGCACAAATGGCCTTAGGCTATCGTCACTGGGCTGGAATTACAACTCCAGCTTCTTGTGAGAGAGCTTTAGATTTTTATCGAAAAGTAGCCAACAAGGTTGCAGAAGAGGTTTCCCTTAGCGGAGGACCAGTTGTTCAGAGAATTAGACTTTTAGATGAACAGGAGAATCCAGCATACAGCTCAGGAATCTTTGATCAAGATCTAATAGAATATTACCAATTGTTAGCAAAAAAAGGAGATATACAAGCTCAGGTGGGATTAGGGCAATTACATTATCAAGGTGGAAGAGGTGTACCACTGGATCATGAAAGAGCATTACAATATTTTCAACATGCTGCTGATGCTGGAAATCCCCTTGCTATGGCTTTTCTAGGAAAGGTAATAAATATTAAATTTTAAACTAAATAGTAACTTATTATTTTCTGTTATGCTACAGATATTTTTGGAAATTATATAATGTTGGTATTCATTAAATTATATTTAATAGTATATCGTATTTTTATAGATTTATTTAGAAGGCAGTGATATAGTTAAACAGGATAATGAAACAGCATACAAATACTTCAAAAAAGCTGCTGAACTTGGAAATCCTGTTGGTCAGAGTGGGTTAGGTCTTATGTATCTTTATGGAAGGGGCGTTGAAAGAGATACTGCAAAAGCTCTTCAGTACTTTAGCCAAGCTGCAGAGCAAGGATGGGTTGATGGACAACTTCAACTTGGCAATATGTATTTCAGTAAGATTAAAAAAATTCATTTTTTTACTTAATAAATTTTATACAATTTATTGTAGTTATCCTAATAACACAATTGTCTAATAGGTGGTACAGGAGTAAGACGCGATTACAAATTAGCTAACAAGTATTTTAGTTTGGCTAGTCAGTCTGGTCATGTTTTGGCATTCTATAATTTGGCACAAATGCATGCTACTGGAACAGGCATGATGCGTAGTTGCCCAGCTGCTGTCGAACTTCTAAAAAATGTTGCAGAAAGGGGCAAATGGAGCGATCAGCTAATGGTTGCTCACACAGATTACAGAGAAGGTAGAATAAACGAGGCTTTCGTCAATTATGCTCTCCTTGCAGAAATGGGTTATGAGGTAGCACAGAGTAATGCTGCATTTATATTGGATAAAGGAGAAACATCAATATTATCAGAAGAAGAGGGATTAGTTAGGGCTCTTGCTTTATGGGCAAGAGCAGCTGCTCAAGGATATTCTACTGCTCAGGTATGTTATCTTTTGCATAAATTAAGTAAGGAAAATCATTTATCCGAAAATTATTGAATTATTATTAAAGATTTTATCTACTATTATTTGCAAAGAATTTATTATAACAGGTTAAATTAGGAGATGCCCATTACTACGGTCGTGGAACAAAAGTTGACTATGAGGCTGCAGCTACTCATTATCGATCAGCGTCTGAGCAACAACATAATGCGCAAGCAATGTTTAACTTGGGATACATGCATGAACGTGGCTTGGGTCTTGCAAAAGATCGGCATCTTGCCAAACGATGTTATGATCTAGCGGCTGAAGCTAGTCCAGATGCAAGAATTCCTGTAGCACTGGCTCTCATTAAACTTTCATTTTTCTTTGGACTGGAATATCTGCAAGAATTTAGCCTTGCTGATCATTTAAATAAGTGGGACCAGCTTTTGGGTCAAAACTGGGACTTATATCTTATCGGATTGCTCACTGGCATGCTCAGTTTAATTATTTATTTTCGCAGGCCACAACCACCACCTCCACCTAGAATTAACTAGTTCTTAATTACCTTTTTTCGAATCTATTTCTCTTTTTCTTTTAGATGAAGTAAAGTTTGTTACTGATGATTCATAAATACATGCACATGTGTGCATATCGATATGTTGTTTTTATTGAGCACCTTGTTTATGTTTAAATTGTTTGAAATTCTAGTGAAATTGTGAACAGTTTGTATTTCAGAAATTTGATAGTGTGCGAGTATGTATGTATGTATTATTGATCTGTATTTATTATGTCAAATTCTGAAGTTGATAGATTTGATAATGGTTAAGTAATATTTTAGAATTCTTTAACTTCACTTATACATTGATTTTTTGCTTTCTGTATATATACAAAACGAAATCAGATTTTAAAGAAATCTTCACATTTTAAGCATTTGCCATTTGTTTAGTTTGTATGGATTTCTTTAAATTTTTAAATCACAAATTATTCATAAATTGATTTGGAATAGATTTTTATACTTAATATTTCCATACATATATGTATGTATATTTCGAAAAAATATAGAAATGATAATAGAATCACAAAAAAGAGTGTAAATATTTACAAATAGAGTGAGTATAATGTTTAAGATAGAAAAAATATAAGATAGGAAACATCTTTTCATTATTATACATTTATATACAACAGGTAAGTTTCTAGGAAATATATTTTTATGATAATGTATAAAATGTATGTATAAATTAATAACATTAAAATTATGTTTTTTGATAAAGGTAAGATTTATGTAGAATACTTTATTTTACTTAAAATGATTTGTAAATTACGCCTTCATATATTGACATGGGTATGTTCTGTTCTAAAAGATGTCTTTTGATTAAAATTATAAATATTTGTGAATGAAGATATATCTTTCATGTATTAATGTATAAACATTCCTTCACCGATTATGATGTTTACAAATGTATTATTTATTATTATACACTAATAAAATTTTATTACAATTCTTTGAAAGGATTAAGAATATTATTTATTAGGTTTTTTCTGGACTATATTGAGTAGATATGTAAAGATTGAAGAAAGTTTTGAATGATAATAATGAAAAGAGAGTTTAAGCATAATTATAAAAGTTATTTGTACAGAAAAAAAGCAAATTTAATTTTTTGCGCAAAGTAATTTAGAGATGTTATAATTAAATGACGTATATATGTTAAAATCTCTGAAAAAGATTCGAGAAGGCTTTGAAGATTAAACAGAAGAAATGATTTCATTATGAAATGATTTGTCAAATTCTTTCGTTACCGTGAAACTAGAGAATTATCGATCTAACAAGAAATACCTTCGTAGATTGTTCCTTAATGTGACGTACAACGGTTTAATTCGTTTATAACCGGCATCTGATTGATAGCAATGCAACGGGCTAGAAGGAAAAAAAGCAAAAGTAAAAAAAAGAAAGTGAAAAAGAAATGTATCGACGAAAGGGAGACCCTGTCTTACGAACAAGAGATCTTAGATAACAACAGACAGTTGGCACGGTAAGTAACGGTTTACGTACAAATGTAGTAGATTTCAGGCTATTTAGTTAAATCATGATAAATATTTCGATTAATCGAAAATTGAGTTTGATTTCATTTTATTTATTATTAAATGTGTTGTTACAAATTATCGTGTTTGATTTAAAAAAATTTATTTCAAAATTTATGAATATACTGTATTTTATAATTTTTAATATACATATGTACAAACTATATAAATTATATATTATATATATTAAGAAAGAAATCGTTAAAAGGCTAATAAGATGTTATGACACTGTATTTTATGCATACAACAAAAAATAAACAATGTGCGATTTAATGATCGATAAGACTCGATAATTTTTAAAAAATAAATATACATTTTATGAACTTGAACATTGTTTAATCCATTTTAGCGTTAAAATTATTTAATAATTAATAATTAATATTTGATGTGCAATTGAAATTATTTTCTTTTTTATTTACGATTGACATCCAAATATTTTCAGAAATAATGGTCGATATAATGTTTTCTTTATAAAATAAATGAACAATTTTTTTGTTTAAGATATTTTTTTTTATCAACGAAAATGTGAAAATGGTAATAAGAATAAAAAATACGGCAACAGGATATAAAACGGTACCTACAAAAACAGTTTCTTTTAAAAATAGTTTTTGTGCTACTAGAACTAACGAAAATATTTAAAGAATATAAAAATAAGAAAATAAAGAGGGTGAATTAAAAAATGAGACAGTTGAAATGTAAATATAATGCAAACTCGAAAGAATGTTTGGATTAATGGAAATAAATTAGATTGAGAAGTCGAAATGAAGAACTGGAGGAACAAGCAGAACTTGCAAAAGAGAAGTTCCGGCAGTTGGAAGAAGATCGCTCGGATGTAATCGCACATTTAAAAAGAAGTCTAGAAGAAAAAATTGAAGAGTCAAAGGAGCTTTCTGAAAGACTCACCGCTTTAGAAGAGTTACGAAAAGATGAACTGGCTGCTTATAAGAAAAAGGAAGAAGCGATGGATAACGAATATCGCACGATGGAGAATAATTTGAGCGCAGAAGTTAAACTAGCTGGTGAAATATAACAGTTAAATTAAGTTTAATTATTTACGATTGGTTTAATTAGCAACAATGTCAATATATTGATGATATGATATCATTTTCTTCGAAAATCTTTTTTTATGTGTAGTGTTAGTAACTGTTTTAAGTGTATTGTAAGACAACAAAATTTTATTATGTAATATAATTCTTCTCTTTTGATTAGCTGGTAAATTAAATGCACTGGAAGATTGGCGATTAGCTCGACTTGATCTGTTACAAAAATTCGAGAAACAAGAACAGGAAATGGCTGAACAGGAAAAGCGACATAAGGAAGAACTTTACGAAGCTGAGAAGTCTGTGGTAGTCGGAAAATCAGTGTATGTTCTGTTAAAAGACTTGATTATGTTTAAAAAAGAAATTTCACCTTTATTTATATTTAATATCCCATAGTTTTATATTTAATTACTTTTAGTTCCATATATTTTTACAATGAACTAATAAGTTATGAATTTTAATAATTCCAAAATATTTTATAAAAATGATTCATTCATCTAAAATATTTCATTCATGTAAATATGTCTAATTTTCTAAATATTTTGTAAAATATTTTGTAAAAAGACAAAATTCTATTTATGAACAAAGTTGTAATCTTATAGAGGTTTTCAAATTATGTAGGGTTGACTGCATTGTCCCACTTAATTACATACATTTTGGATATTTACTATCCATGAAGGATATATGCAGCTACCTTCTGAAATACTGTGAATCTATGTATCTCGCTTGTGATCGTTAAATCTAGGAATATAGAAAAATTTACGAGCCGATGATTGCGGTAACTGTATGCAATCGCGATGAATGTGTGCAGGATGCAGAAAGAGATGAAAGAACATTTGCAAATTTTATCGGAGAGACTTCTGAAGGCGGTCACATTGCGGATAACGGAAGTCATGAATCGTGCAATTCATGAAAACGTGGCATTGAATCGAGATCTTGATAAATTGCTGAAAACCAACAGAGAACTCGATGCCATCAACATCGAAAGCAAGAAAACGGAACAAACGTTAAGGCTGAAATGCGAATTGTTCGAAACCGAGACGCAGATAATATTGAATAAAACGCTGAAACAAAGGCATGCGATTCATCAAGTCGTCGAGGTGATATTATTATTATTATCGTTAAGGTTAAAATGAAATTTAGCTACCTCTATCGTCTTCATATCAACAAACTAATATAGTTTAACTAATAACGCATTTCACATAAAAATAGATATAAAGTACAAGTAACAAGTGTATATAAATAATTCCACAGGAATATGAATCGTTGATTATGTATTATGGACAAGTACAGAGAAGTAATGTTCGTCTGAAGCAATTGCAAAGTATCTTAGAAAATATAATTAAACGAAAAGATGCACTCCTAGATAAGGAAATAAAACAATACGAAAAAAATATCTTGATGGCTAGAAATGAAAATAAACGATTAGTGAAATTAATTCAGAACAAAGAAAAAGAATTGGATGCACTTAAAACTATTTTGAATACTGCTACCACATTTCTTAACGAAGCTTTGCAGGTGGTTATGATTATTTAATTTCTCTTCATTTTTTTTTACATTTATATCTATTTTTCTATCAATTATTTTATATAAATAAATTTATATAGGTCACAGAAAAAGCTTATAATAACCAACAATGCCTTGGAAAAATGGCACCAAAACTATTGCAGTCTCTCATGGAAATATTGCAAACTGAGACCATTACTAGTGCTGTAGATTACTCACCATCAGAGGTGCATATTTTAATATTGAACCTAACTAATAAAGAACCATAAATCGAAAAGTTAAATCATACATAAAAAGTTTAATTATAATTTAAAAACGATGTACATATATTTTATAGATTGATAATATTGATTGTAAATACACATTGGGATGTTTGGGACTTATTGAACCCATTAAAGAAGGAAAGGTTGCTAAAAAAGAAAAGAATGATATTCAAGAAGAAGTACAAGAAGGAGAATCATTGAAAGACTTGGAATGTATACCATCATGCTTATTGAGTGATATTAGTTCTAGTGTTTCCTCTCCTAAAGAATAACCAATTTTGTATTGTATATTTTAGTTGTGGTAATTGTTATATTGCCACATATATTAAATAACACAAAAATTACATTTGTAGAATAATATTTTCATTCGCAATATTTATGATTTTAAAACAATATTAACATTTTATTTATATTGGTAATTTAAAAAAGATGCACAATAATATTTCCGTTTTTTAAATAGAATTAAAATTTAAACAGAATTAAAAGCAATGCATTTTATTCGTTATACAATCGGGCATATTTCATTTACGAGACACTTAATGTTAAAAGTTTGTGCAATGTACATATACATAGGTTTTTTGATTGAAATACTCTTTAAATTTTATACAGTTATATAGAAAAATATAATAAAAATAAATCAAGCTACCCATGGCATTTTAATTAATTAATTAAACGTATTAATATTTCACGCCATGAGATTGAATCGATCTATTAAATATATAACATGTTTTCTTCAAAATGGCTTCCCAAATATTCTAGCAAAGTTCGTTGATTTCTCTTCGCGAAACACTATGTATATATAAATTTCGATATATATATATATTTACATAAAAAGAGAAAATAGAAAAAATGCCTAAAAAGAAACAAGGAAGGTTGGTGAAGTTATTTTAATAAATAATAATTTTAATAATTTATTTAACTATAACTTTTTAAATTATTATACAGAAGAATATTTTATTACAAAAATTTATATTTTGTCACTTTATAATAATTAAACTGTATGTAACTTAATAAAGGTTAGTAACGTTAAAATATTTAAAAAAACATCCAGGACTTTTATTTGTGAACATAAAGATACAAAATGTGTAATTTATATAATAATACATTAAACGTCAAAAGAGGTTAGGTTATAAAATAAATATTGGAGTTTCATTCTTATCAATATTGAAATAATAACAGAATAGAAAATTAATATGAAATTCAGTTAAGTCTCTATTAATATAAATGTACTTAAATTAAGAAATAACTATTTCTTCACTATTTTTTTAATATTAGAAGAAGTATTATTCTTTTACATCTTTTTTTTAAATTTAATTCCTTATTTTTAATTTTAATTAAAAAATAATATTTATTTTATATACATATAGAGGTAAAACAAGAAAAGAAAAGAGGGAAGTTAATGAAGATAAGGAAAAGCAGTACTTCGAAGAAATTATTGATATAGATGAAAATACAACAAAAGATTTTGAATTTCTATCAAATGCTCCAATTTCTAAAAATGATGACTTTGTTTTTCAATCAGAAAAAAATTGGGATGTTGATGTTTTCAAATACTCTGACTTTTTTACAATTGATCTAAAAACATTATCTGCAGCAATAGAAGCAATTTCATTTAATGAAAATGTTAATATTGATGCAAAGTATTTTACTGTAAGTTTAATAATATATCAGACTAATTTAGCTTAATCCTGACTCTTTAAAAAATAAGTAAATATTACTGAAGTATTATTAACCATTGCAGGATGACCAATTAACAGATATCTACAACACTGTGGAACGAGGTAAAGAAAATTATAATAAAATATTAAGTGACTCAGAAAAGATGATTGTAAATAATACAAAACATGAAGACGAAAATCAGGATTTATTAGAAAATACAGCTGATGATTTAGACTTTTTATTGTCATGTCATAAACCTGTGACTGATCCTTTGATAGTTGTGAAATCTGTATCTCTTTCTTCTAGCTCTGGTATATGTTTATGCATATTTAGAATGAAATACTTTATTTGAAACTGTTACTTTTAAGAGGCTAATGAAATACATATTTGTTACAGATTCAAAAATAACAAATAAATCTAATACGTCAACCAAATCTTTGGACTTAGAAAAGTGGCTAGATTCTATTTTAGATGATTAACTGTGAATAATTTATTATATTGTTATCTCTGCAAAAATTTCAGAAAATCAAGATAAATATTTCTGAATATTTGCATATGAACCAAAACAAAAAATTTATTTTTTTCTGAATAAACATTATTAAATAAGCATTAAATAGCATAACAAATAGATTAATAAATATTAGAGTATATTCTTTTTTGTGATATATTTCAACCTTTTTTTTACATAGACATTTCAAATTTTATAACAGATATAATTACACAATTTTCTTTTCAACAACATGTTGTATAAATCTGACATATTTTTTATTTTATATTGTTGGATGACTGGATTACTTGTATAAAACATTTATTTGTAAATTATTAATCTTTAAACACACTACCAATATCACTAAATCTAAGGCTAACTCACATTTCTAACTATAATCTCATACAAACAAATACATATCAAGGAGCCATTTTTTTTAAACAATTCATTGGTAATGTAAGAAATGCATTGTCCAATCTGCTCTGTAGAGTAAAATTTTATTTTAATCACCAAACTGCATATTGAGAAATGCTGTCATTTTATCATAAACTATAAGCATAATTGCACCACCTGGACCTAATCGTAAGATCTTTGGTAACAATCCTTTATACAAGGCTCTAAATCTAAAATAAAAATATTCACAAGCTATGAATATTAAAAAGCATTTCATTGTGTACTTACTGGTTGTTAATCAGATGCAATGAGATTATGCAAATAAAAGAAGAAACACTACATGTATGAAATTATAAAAAATAATATAATTGTATAATAATAAAAAAAAAATAATTCAGAATGTCTAGAATAAATATAAGAATCTGAGTTAATAATTTTTTACCCTTCATTTTGATAAACTAAGTAAATAGTTTGCAGAGTACCCTTATACTGGATTGTTCCTTGTGGACCTTGAATACGACTTTTAGCAACATCAAAAGGTATGTTCATACAGGATGCCACCGTCCCAGCTATAAAACCTATAGCAAACTAAAAAATACATGTTCTTTTTTTAATTACATACTGATATTTATAATAAATATATATCCTTTTTCATTACTAAATTAATTATAAATAATATAAATGAAATGCCTTACATTTTAAGGCTGAAATATACCTTCAGAAACAGTTCTGGAACATATTCTTTTTGTTTATTCAGTCGAAGAATCATAGAACGATAAATCCCAAAATAAAAAGCATTGAAAACAGCATTTCTCATTATTGTAGCAGATAAACCTTTATTAAGACCATTTAGTCCAAAACCTTGGTTGTAAAGAATATGTCGAGTAACAGCAATAGTTGATGGACTATCACTGATATGTTTACGATTAGACTGCATTTGTACTTTAACTACTTCAAAAGGATTTATTAAAATTGCCTCTGTTACACCTGTTAAGAATCCAGCACAAAAAAATGCCTAAAAGGCATTATATAATTGTTAAAAATTTACATATTTAGTAACATACTTTAAACATTATGTTATTTCATAATGTACATTACACATTGAAACATTCAGTTATAAAAGGTTTAAATATGTAAACAAGTATGGCTAGTTTACTTAAAAGAATGATACACTACTTATAATAATATGGCTAAGATATTAAGAAGCTAATTAATTAATAAAATTAAATAAAAAAGATATATTTGTATCTTATCCAAGTAAGTTGTAATATACCATAATAATCTTATAGCTATAATTATTTTTAAGAAGTAGATCACACTTGTTTGCCTACATATCTCATAAAACTTTCTCTAGACGTTTTTTTTTATTAATAGAAGTACATCAAAGAAATTTTCCAATGGAATACATACCATTGACTGTGACATGTGATTATTAAAAAGCTTCTTGTACTGTTCAAAGGAGAAAAACTAAAAAATTAAAAGACATAGAAAAAATAGATATAATATTCATATAAAATTAGTAATCTTTGAACTAGATTTCATTTTAACAATTTACAATGAAAATAACGAAAAAAGAACTGTTTCATATTACATACTTTCACAGCTCTTTTAGGAGTTTCCATGATAATTGGCGGTAATATACCTTTCCAAAATGCTGCAACTCCCTCATTGTTATACATTTTATTCATACAATCTCTAATTCCTATGATAGAAATATAAATAAAAAAAATGTTTACAACTAATTAAAACAAGACATTAAAATACATATCACAATAAAGTAACAAAAGTAATGCTAAAATAAAAACATATACAAATAAACGATACAATGCCTGTATAGTAAAGAGCATCTTGAGTTCCCATTTTAACTTGCAATTGGAAACGTGTTTTAATAAGATCCATGGGGTGCATTATACAAGCTTCTACAAAACCTGCAGAACCACCTGCACCAATCTGAATGATAGCCTCCTTTATAAGACTTGATTTACGTTGAGTAATTTCTATATGTGCCATTTTGTTTCAGCCTTTTTTCCTAGGTGCTTAATTCATTAACTTTCTTAGCTTTTTATGAAAGAGAAAACATAATTTTCTTCTAGAGATTTTTCTTATACTTTATTTTGATATACATATATATTTAAAAAATGATACATATATATACATATGTAATTAATGTTATTCATTTATACAAATGATTCTTATAGTCTTACTTATTTAACATATTAAAAATATCAACCTACTTATGCAATTTAAATATTTTTTCATGTTGTGTTCTTTTATCTACTTATTAAATATTTTTATTTACTATTAAAAATATTATGAAATATTATGAAATAAATGAAGTTTTAACAAAAATGTTTTGTAAGTAATCAAATTTAAATTAACTACTCTTTCTTATTGATCAAGTTTCATTATCATTGCTACTATATTGCAATTATCTACTTCATAATAAATTTTTTAAGAGAATATTTTTGAGTATTTAAGTACTCAAGAAGAAATATTTTTTGATATAGAAAGTTTAGTAAAATGATTTGCCAAATTGATCTATGTTATAAATTGCCAAACATAAATAAACAAAAAATATGTTTTTGGTAAACACATGCTTGTTTTAATTTTTATAAAAATATTGAGTTAATAAAAAACATATTATTTAGAACAATTTTTTTTAACAAAAATGAATTTTTTTCATGCAAAAGAAAAAATGTTGTTACAACACTAACGAAGAAAATGAGATAATTACATCTTTAATATACGGTTTTACAATGACTATAACAAACTTATACTAAACCAAAGTACAGAAAATTATAAGAGCATGATAAGGCAATATCTTGTCACTCTCTTGAACAATATTACGTAATTACAATCTTTAAGTTAATTGTAAGTTAAGTCAGAATCTTAAAGCTGAAATGATTCGTTTTCAAATGCATTGCTATATGCGTCACTTTTAAGTTAAAATTATGTATAAAATATTTAGTCAAAAACATTCTTTACTTTTCTGTGTATAATTTTAGAAACTTATCATATAACTGAATTTATGTCAATTATATGAATGCACATTACGTATTTTCAAAATTATTTATTTTGAATTAAAATCGTCGATTTAAAACTAATCATCGAAAGTATTTATTAACCATTCAAAAAAAAAAAAAAAATCGAAGTTAATTAATAGATAAATGTAAATATTTATAACAAATATTATTTAACACAATTTATATATCACAGTCAAAAGAATAATTAATAATTCATCATTTATTAATTGGTATTGGTATAATATTAAAGTAGAAAATATTGTTTAATTTACTTAAATACATTACATGCATTACAATTACAAATATATTCTTGACCATACAAATAATTTGATTTCTTAAACTAGCAGGAAGGAAAACTAGTTTATAAATATACTAGTTTCTTTGTTCAATCAAGGATATTAAAATTGTGCAGCACTTCTCATACATTTTTCTTTTATTTTTCTCACATTTATATTAGAATATCTAAATATACATTACGATTTTTATAACCGAAGACTTAATTTTAATGTAGATATTTTTCATTATACCACTTTATGCAATAATATAAAAATTCTATATCTTTTACATCCAAATAAGTAATGATAACTCTTATAATTAAAAGATAGAATTAAAGGATTTTATAAGTAAAAGATTAAGAAGAATAATTAAAGAATTCTAAATATTTTTAAAGTATATAACATTTATTTTCTAATATATTTCAAAAATATTGAACTGAAATTGAAGCTGAAAATATTACAAGGGATATGATTTTCTATTTTATACTGGATAAATGTAGATACTCTATGTTTTGGAAAAAATCAACAGAATAATAGTACATACTATACATATAGTATTAATGGTGGTACTACTACTAATACTAGTATCTTCAAAAGTATAAAAAAAAGTATATATTCTATATATTCTAGTTACTGTAGACTTAAAAAAGAGTATGTTTTCTACACACAATAGTTTTTATAGAAAATTTACGAAATATTTTTTCAAAAGATGTTATAAAATTTTGATTAATTAAAACAAAGCTATTGTATACAATAAAGTATTTTGTACACTAAACAATTGAATATTTCCATCTAATAAATTTAGTCCTTTACTTTTTCATTTGACTTGACTTTTCGATCTAATATTTTTATTTTGGGATCAAACAAACACTTCGTTGCTTTGTTACACTTTGTTATATTAAAACATTCCAATTAATCCTTTTCTTAGCCACAAAAATACAAGGAATGTTAATTACTGTTAGCATTGTTATTTACAAAAAATATAAATTTAGAACAACCAATGAATTAATTATATATTAATGTTTTAAAGCACGATAGTATAATTAGATCGCTGTTAGTTTTTAATCGCATCCATCGTGCCAAGATATTCTGATTGGGTAAGTTAATTGTATATATAGATAATTTTATCAGTTGTTGAAATAGCCTGAGATAATAATGAATTCTTTATTCACCTTCGTGATATTCCGTTTCGTTTAAGTAAACCGTATTTGCAGCCTTGAATTATTATCGCTACCATTTTGTAGTTACAGTAGTTCCTTGTTGATTGACGGTCAGCTTAATTAGTTTTTGAGGGAAATAATATGGGAAATATAGGAATCGCTCACAAGGTGAATGCAAATTGAATACAAATATTAAACATACTTGTCTATGGGGCACTGTGTTTTAGTCAGTAGCCTACTTCACGAAGCTACTTGCAAACATCGGTGGGGATAAAGATAGTCAATAAACAAAGTAAAATTCTGGCCAGTTAACACGGCACCACCACTACTTCTCTGTGGCATTACTTCTGCCGTTCTGCCTATCATCGTAATGTCATATCATAGTCGATAGTAGTATATACTACTGACTGCTGACAATCAAATACCTAGTCACGAAACGTCACGCTGAACGAAACGCTGAATCTTTTTTTATTTCTGTTATATTTTAATTTCTATACGGACGAAATTTCAATAATATGGACATTAGGCATAGAAAGGTTTGTTTCCAGCATTTTCTTCTTAGTAAATTTCGTATAGGGTATTTAAATAGGATTTTCTTTTTCTCATCGATTGTATATGTATTTCGTATTATCGTTTAAATTTGAAAAATGGATTGTAATATAACCTAAATTCAAGGCAAATATACTTTTACATGTATATGAAAGTGTAAGTTATTAGTAACAATGCGTTTACAATAATTTAAATGGTGTAGATAATTTTGTAGATATAGATTAATATATCTTTTCTTTAATTAAGAAAGATTTGTTCTAATTCAAACAATTGTATGACGAAACACTTACAAAATAATTGATGAAGTAATGTCAATTAATAATCGAGAGTTCAGTTACGTAACTTTTGAAGTAAAATTCCATAAATGTAAAACATTTTACCATTTTGTGAAAACTTCTAACTTTATAACACATATATGTTTGTTGATGTTACAAAAGTCTGCAAATTTTTACAAATTATTGAGTAATTTCATATCAAGCTATGGTTAATTTTGAACTGTAATACAAAAATCAAAGCGATTGCAGAGAATTTCATCATGTTGGTATTATATCAGTATAGTTTATGTTTCTTCATTGTTTATGACATTATAGAGTTTATTTCAAATTAATTTTTACCCCGAGTTTCTTAAAGTTTCAATAAAATAAAAATACGTTTTATTTAATTAATATTTTTATTCATAAAACGAAAGAATGTATATCTTTGTAATGCTTTTTATATTTAAAAGAATAGAAATATCTCTAGTATTCAAAATTAATTATAATTTATATATACACACTTCTAAATTAATCATGAATTAGTATATAGTAGTAATATATTTGTATTAAATCTCGCAAAATTTTCCGCAAGAAATGTTCTAATATTAGTAATGTTTTTTATTTAGCCTTAAGTTGTGAATGTATTAAATAAATACATGGATTTTCTAGTAAATCAGAAATCTGTGGTTTTAAATATTAATATTTAATAGAATGTCTTTTTTATATTCTACTCTATTTTTCCACTATGCAGCATACATAAAATTTTGGAAGTTCCGTATATAGCGAGTATATGATGCTTTTATTTTCTTCAACTATTTCTCCATATAAAGAAACCAAAACTACCTTCGTTGCCTACATCAGCTACTTGAATTGCATTTTAGATGCGATATATTCCAGTGAGTTTGAAATTCCTTGCAATTTTGTTTATTTAATTGTATATTGTAAACATTATCGATATGAAAATTATTAAATTTGAGGTTATCGAATCTTCTAATTTCATAATTATAAAAGTGTCATTGATGTCAACAGCTTTAAATATATTTACTTGTATTCTGTATTCTGACCGAAATAAAAATGTTTTTGCATGTTTAAATTTGTTACTTTGCATTTTTCTTGTTATAAAATGGTATAATAAAAATATTTAAACTCACTTTATAAGCTAAATCATGTTTTATGCCAATTAGGAATAAGAGTCCTCATGAGAAGTAATCTTTATATACTTGAAATCAATATATTTATCTTTCTACAATAATGTTAATGTTTTTTTTAAATCATCAACTTTCATATGTTTTGAGTGGCAAAAAATATAGGTGATTCTTCAATTTGTTGATCAGTTTAAACATTGCAATTACCTTCACAAATTTTCCTTTTAAAAATCCTTATAAAATTTTGTGTCTTTTTATAGTTGAGATATAAGCAATTAATTTAGAAAAATCCTCAACAAAACTCTAATTCTAAATGAAAACAAACTGTATGTAGTATAAAATGTTTCATTGGTTATATATTTGTTTAATGTATATCTAAAATAAATTCATATTGCATTTTCAGTTAAGAACAGAAAATGAAGATATTATTGAAGCAGATCACAAACCTCGAATTAAAAAGGGTCATCCAGGCAAAAAATATTTTGTCGTTATTGCCTTATTGGGAATTCTCTTCCTAGGATACATAGCAATAGCGTATGTTTTATAATATATTATAATAGTTAGGACAACTTAATAAATATTAATATTTTTAAAAATTATTATTATTTTTCTATTGTTTTATAGTTTAATTGAACAAAAAGTGATTTTTCATAAAAAATTAAGTAAAATATATTTTTTAAAATAGTAATCAAATAATAATAATTTGAACAATTTCACTTTGTTTTTTCAGATATGACTTAAAGCCAGTACGTCTTGGGAGTAAGGCAATTGATACATTGGCTTTTTCCTTTAATCTACAAAAACCATTTTATGTCGTAGTAATTGATGCAGGCTCCACTGGTAGCCGTGCTCTGGCCTTTAGTTTCCATGAATCGATTCTTGGTGGCAATTTGGTTTTGGATGGTGAACTCTATACAGAAACAAAACCAGGCGTTAGTGCTTATGCTGAAAAACCTAAAGATGCGGCAAAATCTCTGACTGTATTATTAGATAAGGTGAAGGAAGTTGTTCCACAAGTAGAATGGCAACATACACCTCTCAACATGAAAGCTACAGCTGGTTTGAGACTTCTTCCTGGACATAAGGCTCAAGAAATACTCCAAGAATGCAGGAAAATGTTTGAAGAAAGTGGTTTTCAGGTATGTGCCTAATATTTATGAAACTAATAATGCATAATAAAATTTTTCAAAATGTCTTCTATACACACAATTTGTTTTATGTTTAGATAATTACTTTTCGTTTTGACTTAAAATTTTCTAAGGATTTCAGCATGTCTTAGATCGCTTTAATTAGCATATTAAATGATTTTTATGTTTATGATCTTAAAAAATAGAGATATATAAAATGTAGTAGATTCTGGACACATTACATAAAAGAGGAAGTTATTTAGTATGCTAATTTAAAATTGCTTTTAATATCTAACAATTAATTAGAGTTATATATGTTTTCAAAATCCTTACATTTTCACTTTGTTGTAGTTTCTTTGTTTTAAATGTATTTTTCTCAGTGATAAAATATTCTTGTATTGTCTTCAGTAGGATTGCACACATATTTCTTCCAGAGGATGAAACTAGGTGGTGTATGTAATAGATCAGTATACAGCATGAATATCATATTAGAGAAATTAGATGCTTGATTTGTATAAAGCTTAAAAATAATATGCAAAATAGCAAATACAAAATTATAACATTTTTGTACACAACATTTTTTAAAAGTATTATTTAATTATTTCATAAAATAATCTTCCATACTTATATATTAGATATATGTTTATATATATACACGTATTTTTTACTTTAAAAATTTAAAAACTGTATATATAACAATAGCTGACTGTAAAATAAAAAGATGCTTCTTTGCTATTTAAGTTTTAACATTAAAATAGGCGTTCATTGTTTATTCTATGTGTATTTTAGATTTCTAAAAATTCGATTTCTATAATGGATGGAACAGACGAAGGAATATTTTCTTGGTTCACTGTAAATTTTCTATTGGAACGTTTTAATACGCACAATCCTGGTAGCACAGTTGCTGCACTAGATCTTGGTGGAGGTTCTACACAAGTGACTTTTTCACCTAATTCTATACAGGTATAATGAAATAAATATAATTTTAATATTTGAAAATGTGGAATAATGAATAAGAACATAATTAAAATAATCATGATATAGTATTTGATCAAAGATATCAAATATATTCAATTAGAATCATATGAACAATCATTTCATATGAAAACAAAATAAAAAATGTATTTGATAAAAATTGTAATAGTATTATATTTATATATAGATATATTACTTATAACATTGATTTATTTATAGGATTTTTAACTTTATGTACTTAAAAAATCATGACTTAAATACGAATTTTTACTTTTTTACATAACTAGAATTTAGCTTAGGATTTATTTATTGCACAAAATGCAACTGTTTTTATTAATGATAAAAGAACACATTTTTAATTTATTTAAAACATATTTAAAATTTGTTCAGGAAAAAGGACTTGATGGACATACATATTCTGTCAATATCTTCAGCCATAACATGAGTGTTTACACACACAGCTACTTGGGTATGGGTCTTATGGCAGCAAGGAAAGAGATTCTGACAAATGGAATGAACTTGGATAGTGTAAACCCAAAAGATACAATAGAAGTACGATCAGAATGTGTAAATCCCATAGTTTCGACAGAATGGAGTTATGGCGGATTTAATTATATTATTAAAGGACCCGTGAATGCAACTCATAAACTAGTCAAAACACAAAACTTTGCTGGTGGAGAAGTGGACAGGCCAATTGTCAATTTTCCAGAATGCTCAAAAATTATTGAAAAATATGTTAGCAAGATAAAAAATAAACCAGAAGGTTTGAAAGATCATGAGATTTACGCGTTTTCTTATTACTTCGATCGCGCCACTGAGGTAAATTTTTAAATTTGAAGAAAAATGATAAGCTTTATCAATACAAATAGATGTATAGTTTTATTAATATTTCAGGTTGGTCTAGTCGACCCCTTTTCTGGTGGAGTTATTCAAGTAAATGCTTTTCAAAAACAAGCAAGGGATGCCTGCGATTATCCAAATACTGATCAACCTTTCATTTGTCTTGATTTAACATTTATCTATGTTCTCCTCCGTGATGGATTTGGTCTGGAACCTAATACGAAACTTTATGTAAGAATATAAATACATTTCTATACTACATTTTATATATTTTTATTTCAGATATAATTTTTTTATTTGAAACAAACTATTAAAACTTAATTATTATAAGTTATTGAAGTAATATTTAATCTAATGCTTTTTATTTTGTTTTTTTATCAGCTTTATAAGAAGATCAATGGACATGAATTAAGTTGGGCTCTCGGCGCCGCCTTCAACATAATCCAAAATGGTTTTTAACGTATTCAAAATATAGGCGAAGGAATTGCAAATATTTTTACACAAAATTGAAGAAATTGTTTAAGTTTACAATGTATGTAAACATTTGATTTAGATAGAAAATATCAATCTATTTACACGTTTTTTATTCTTATTATAACATGTTCAGTTACTCGAATTTGGATATCCTAGTGATATGCTTATATCAGTGTTGTGTATAATGTTTTGTTATTTGTTTAAACATTCTATTTCAAGCAATTGCAGTATTAACTAAAAAATTAACATGTTAATTAAAGTAAATCAGAGATTCTTAAGATTTGTTCATATCTTAATAATTTTAGAAAATGAAGTGATTTAATGCATATGTATGTATATACATAGATTGTTGGAAGTTTTGTGGAATTAATTATCTTTTCTGTTATACGTCATAATATATGTATATATATACACATATTTTCTTAGGAATTTCTGACATAAATATTAAATTGTTTTCTATGTACATGAATCTTAAATTTTATTTTTTGATTTCTTCTAGCACAATTTTTAACAGTGGCATAATAGATTACATTATTTTTTAAACTGCTCAAATTACATCTTATTTTTTAAAAGGACTGTTTAGTGTTTTAAGCAAAATAGAGAAACTATAAAAGGGAATAAGGATTTTTTAAAAAAATAGAAATCCTTAATTATCGCATATTAGCGAATAAGATTCTTGCAGTGACCAAGCATATTGTGTGTTCAAAAAAGACAATTTTTATTCCAACAAGTGCATTAATCAAATTACTGCACAATTAGTAATTGTACAAAAATATAATGCTTTAACAAAATATTACAATTTTGAATTGTTCAACGAATATTTGTCTCAATGCATTTGTAAAATGGTTATTAGATTTTAAATATTTAATCTTTATATTAAAATGTCATTGAAGAATAACAATGTGGTATATTTTTATTACCGAGAAATTTTTTATTTCGGCAATAATGGCTAAACTGAAGAACATCACACCCAAAAAAAGATGACAATAGACTATATATATATATGCTTTTTGCGGTTGTCCATTTTAATCAACGCTTGGCTGTGGAGATACATTCGGCCGCTTTCAGCTATAGTCGACACTCGTACCGCGGAGATATTATATCAAATACAAATATTATATCACAATTCAAGAATAAACAAATTAGAATTAAAAGTTTTATCATTATACAAATTAGTCTACATTCTATATAATGGAAACTGCTTGATAGATAATGGAAATTGTTTCTGTAAGTATTATCATTATCGTAATACAAAAGAACAAGTTTTACAATACATCTACATACATAAGTCTTCATTTCGTTATCAGATACGGTAATATCACATATTATACGATATAATCAAAGCAATTAAGCGGAACCATATAACTTATTATGAAATTAAATTAGTTATAACCTACACAAAGAATGCAATCCTAATCTTAATGCAATTGCATTCAAACCACATTTCTGGTTTTTTCGAATCATTGGTTAATAATAATATCCTTTTGCACAATTTTATTTAGAAATATTACATGGTTTAACAACACTGTTGTGCAATAAATAACGATCATGTTGCTGGTAACCACGAAATCGATAAGAATGATTAAACATGAGAGAGCATGGGATAACTTGATACAACGCGTGTGTGTATGCGAATAGTGAAACAAGGAAGAAGACCTAATTGAGTGAAAGCTAAGGTCAAAAGGCCAATAAACGTTCTCGGACGAGCCGATAAGCTGCATAATAGCAAAATACCAATTGCATTTCTCTACTTTTCTCTTTCTTATTCGATATCTACGATATCACGCTACCTATACAATCAATCAGGGACATGGATTGATTTTCAATCGCAGAAGTGCTTCAGGCTTGCTAAGTTACATGAATTTAAGTCTTTTTATTTCAAGGGATATTCAATGGAAAATGACGTTGACGAAAATGGTAAAATATGCGTGTAAAATGTTAATTATAATTGAAATTATAGAAAAAGAACATAATATGTCTTTGATGGGAGGGTATAAGAGAAAAGTCTTTGTAATTAAATATGTATCAGATAAAAATAGCTACTAATTAAGCTTGACATATTTGACAAGAAAATTCAATAAATGGGCTCGATAATTATTGTCCATTGTTTGAAATATTAATCGTAAAATGCGTGACTTTCAATGTATCATTTTCAATGATTCTTTAATCTAATTTGACATAGTTTCCATGTTTCATGTTTGTTTCATCATTATAATTAGCGTTAGTATCTCACAATTGAATTTCGATCTATTTAATGACCAAACACCGAAGAAAGTATAAGAGAGTGATTTTTCTCGATTTCTATAATCTCTTTTTAATTATTCGAGAGATATAATAGAATATTGGAAAGTGTAGTATCCGCTAAAGTTCATGCTATTGTTAATTACATTTAAGTTTCCCTGTGTAATTTTTTGTTGTATCAATCAACTTCATTAGAAAAACAGAAATGCTTTAAATTAATATCCTACCGTGTTTTCGTTAAAAATTAAGTATTAAAACAATAATATTAAATAATAAAATGAAATATTATTGCTGATACGATTCGTACGTTTAAAATGATCAATCGATGGTGATGACGTTGCGTATTACTTACGGTTACTCCCCACGCGGGTTGTGCGTATTTCAAAACGAGATGAGTGCAAGACGAGGTCATGGAATGTGCAGTACTTATATATCTGTTAGAAGCAATTCCAACTGTCTAGAATTTTCTTCGTCAATCTCGACACGTAGATTTTGCGAAATTTCGAGAGGAACAAGCGCATTAGAAATGGAACATCGAGCTTGATGTATGATTCAGTTCAATGAAGAAAAACTAGAAGAGGAAGTAATGGCCGTCTAAGATGTATGAGATTTAAATACATACGTATGATGGGATCATTATTCAATGATAATCGACTATAATTGTGAAACTTTTGAATCGACTTTTTATTGTGAAACTAGTTATAACGATTTCTATTTTTCGAATTCAATTCTGGCATTCGATTCGCTTAACTGTAAATTGTACTACTTTTTGGTGGTTTCGCAAATTGATAATAGATGAGAGCATGCGGTTATTTTTAGATAAAATTTACGTTTTTATATTCCAGATCGAGCATACGAACTTTCATAAATCTAAGTTTCAGGTCACGTTGTCGTTTCTATTGAAATGCGTTATTATCTAAGTTCCTATCTAAATTCGCTCAGTTTGTTTTTTCAATTCTGGCTTCTTTCATAAACAAATTTTTCATTCTTTTCTCTGTTTCCTTCAATAATATGCATTAAAATCACCACAATGCTAACTTTCTATTGCCTTTAATTGTTTGTTTCAAAATTATGATAAAATATTGATAATAATTATGTTCTTACATTAATTACACATAAAATTACATGAACAATATAATAACGATACAGAAAAGTACTATTTTTATTAATGATATAAAAATGCTACTTTAATTAATACAAACCTTTATTGACACCTAACTGAAGTTCTTTAAATCGTAATTAAATAACAATTAAATAATTAATAACAATAAAGTTCAATACCCCCCCCCCCCCCAAAAAAAAGAAAAGAAAAGATAAAGGGAAAGAAACATTGTCAGTGACAAAGTCCAAGAAAACAGATAAGTAAGATCTCAATCAATAGAATACAACCTCCAACTTGTTAAAAACACCAAATTGATGAACGTATGTCTCACCAAATTAAATCATCACTTTCAAAAACAATCAGATTCTACACTATTCTATATTAAATCAAACTATTAAAAAGGAAGATCTATATAGTATTAAAAAGGAAATAAAAAATAGGAGAATTAACATTAAAAGAAATAAGAATAGGAGAAAAAGGATAACAAGCGACATGAACCGAGGGGAAAGCGGAATGCGTTAACGTCGTGAAAGGAAGAAGGAGGAAACGAAAGCGAGCTCTCTCTCACGTTCTTACGCAGCTGAGAAGATGCTCTCGTAAGAAATCTTACCTGTGAAACACTGGAAAACTATCGAGAAAGAGATAGGGGTGGGGAACAGAGGAGAGCAACGTCTATCAAAAGGCAACTTTCACATGGTCACCACGCGAAGCCCCTTTTCGGCTTCCTGGAACATCACGGGATTAAAAGTATCGTTGCTATACTGCGAAAAGAGAGGCACCAACACAAGCAATTTACCTGAAAGGTCATTCCTCGACCTCCTTTGAAAAAATCGGAACGAATTTCGATCTAACCTCTTTGTCTTTCCTTCTCCTTATTCTCGCTTCTTCTTTTATAGAGAGGTTCAGTTACCTCAGCGGTCAGGTAGATCTCTGATTTACCCTTGATTCCTTTTCCTTGTTTGCTATACAGGGTGTCCTAGCAATCGTCGTACAATCGGGAATAGGGTGATTTTACATAAAAGAAGCGCGAATAATAACAAGTAATAACAAAATACAGAACAAAATTTTTTCGGATAATGCTTCGTTCTTGAGAAAATCGTGTTTAAAAATAATAAAATAAAATGAGTAATGGTTTAAGAATTGGTATATATTGCAATAAAAGTCTTCATATAGGACGAATGCTTTCCTCAGAAACCACTTCTTTCAAGGAAACCATTTTCTTTAAGGATACCTTATATTCAGGTTAGACAGTATTTTGAAATAGAAAGTGAGTACTGCAATGAGTAATACTTAAAAAAAAGCTACTGAAGTGAAATTCCCAACTAAATATTGTACTAACTTGTGAGTAACTGTACACTTGAAGGTAATTATCTTAATAAAAACAGTTTTCGAAACTAATGACGTCATAAGTGTCGAAACCTGGATAGGCCAAGAAAGTAATTTATATATATATATATTAGTATTATTAATACGAAATGTGTATAATTATCTCCATTTTTGATTAATAATTAATCTCACATCCAGAAAAAGGAACAACTTCGCTGTTTACTTTTAATATCTCAATTATAAATTAATTGTTACATTGTCTTCTCATAATATAGCCTTCGATCAATTAACTCATTTTGCATCGAAAGTAGACAAATTTCAATCGTCGACTTTCTTCTACAGTGCTCATATTACATGGTCAAAGGTTCAATGCAGTGGTTAATAATGGTACCTCTCGGTGTTTCAAGATTTATCGTTGCACAGTTGCACTTTCTCTTTCTCAAAGACCGTTAAAACCATCAATTACACACACCCTTGGCCAGCTAACTCGAAGAGGAAAAAAAGCAGGTTAAACAGCAGCGCTATCAAATATAGTAGCCGACTTAGAAAAAGCAAGCCGCGGAAAAGATCGATCGTCCATGTAAGAGGAAGGCATCGATTTCCGCGTCTTCTTCGGGAAAGGCGTCGTGACGCAAGCCGGCGAAACTTTCACTATTCTTAAACAACCACTAATCAAGATGAAGACGACTACCAGGTAGGTACGTTGCTTTCCTCTCCTTTCTTCCCTTCTTCTGTCACTAAAAAACCGTACTCGATGAACGTCCTCGAGGTCAAGTCTTCTTGACGAACCTTTGCCGAGTTAGGTTTCGTAAAAAAAAATCACTACTGGTGGTTGAACACTTCATCGATTGATAAAATCGCGATATTTGGCAAATAGTCATATTTTTTGCGAATTTTTAAGGTTATGATTGAATGATTTTGTGAACTTTTAGGAAGAATTAGTTCTTTATGTATACATTTTTGCTTAAATTTTGAGATAAATTAATTTCGTTTTAAAAAATAATTTATTTATATATTATTTTCCATTTTTCTATTTAATAATTAATGATTGTTATCTGGTATCTGTTATGTATGTAAGACAATATTAAAACATAATTATATACATAGTTATAATCATCCGAGTTACGTGCTATATGAAGTACGTCTGACTAAAATACAAATTCCACAGTCTATTTAGAGAGTTGATATTTATTCAGTCAACAATGAATTTCTTACGTCTTTCTTATATCGAAACGTTAATCACTTCAAGGATAATACAGAGTGTCACTACTTTATTTAACTACAGATATTAGACAACTTAATTTATATAATTTAATGAAAGTCTTATTAGTCTTTGTTCAGATTATACATCGAATATAATTTAATTAAAAAAAAATTTATATAAAAATGCGAAAGAAGTTAAATTTAACGTTGTAAAAAATATTTATTAGATTGTGGATAGTAAGTTGACTAATATATATACATATTTCTAGTATGATGGATTTGTGAGGTTACGTATATCAAAACATTTCTTTCTTTTAACAAGTTTCAGTATATATACATACATGTATCTTGATCTCTAATGCAATCAATCATTTTATAACATGTGTAATCACATAATGATATTCGTGTTTATATTGAAACATCTAAATATCTCTAAGACGATTAATTTATACGTGCTTATACATATACATTTAGAAAGACGACGCACTTCCGTGTAATCAATCACTATTAAGATTCATTGGTTTATATAAATCCTTAATTTCCATATTTCATATTTTTATGTGATTCATAATAATAAGGTTAATTATTCGGAACGTTGAAAGTTTGAATACGGTTGATATAAATCTTTCGACGTGACGCGCGCACATGATGCAATAGTGACGCGTTCATGCGAATAAGCCGCGTTGGTGGACCACAGAGCACTTGGTTTCCCACACAGGGTGGCGTGGGCCAGAACTCTTCTTAGCTTGTATAATGTTTTAGACGAAGAATCATTGCACAATACTCCGTTTATACTTTGTACGTTTTACCTCATCACACACAGGATTGAATGATACGAAACTGCGTGCTAGGATAGTTTCTCTTTATTTACGTGAACATGTTACTTCTAGATTCGAATGGAAATTATTTACCATATGATTAACGTAATTGTGTATTTTGTTTAGCAAATATATAGAAGCATTTTCGAAATGTTGATTTCAAGATATCTTTTATCTGGCTAAGAGTGCGAATAAAAATGATTTAACGTGTTTTCTGTTTGTACCTAATTCACAGAATATGATGTCATTTATGTTGAAACTAATTTCTAGGTACCATATCATAATTAATGGTTTTTCGATATTTATTCTTTCGTAATATTTAATTTTAATATCACCGTAATTTCTTTTTGTTTTAATATTTGTTTATTTTCTTCTGTTATTGTTTACGTTATTGTTATTAGCATGTTAATGTTAGTAATGTCGATAAGGAGATTTTACAAATATTTCTCAGTAAAATTAAAGTTTAAATTTTATCTTATGCGAAATAAGAATCTCAGGGTCTAACATTCACAGCGTTTACCAATCAGCACTACTGTTGAATGCGGTCAGTTCTTGCAATATTTTAATGACTTTGTGCCAATTTAGACTTTCGTTACACGTGTTCCTGAGAATACGGAGAAATTAAAGTGAAACGTGATTTCATGCAGCTAAATTTTCGATTGCATTATTCTCATTCTGTAATTATTCCCATAATGATGACCTTGTATTATAGAGCGCCCTAGTATATAGCAGTATATACATATAATGAATGTTAAAATGACTTTTACATT